TAACTCCTACTTAATGCATTCCTAAGAATATTGTGCAATGCTATGCAGAATTACTCCGATCTAACCCCATTGATTTCAATTGACTTAGACAAGAGTACCTCTGCACAGGAGTGGCCCAACAGGTGCTTTGAACCTTTTGTGAAGGTGAAAAGTGGATGTTTTTCCACATTACTCTTTGATTACTGAAATGCCTTTCACTCCTGTTTTAGTAGGGGAAAGACCGTGGCTCAGTGGTAGAGCCTCTGCTTGGCATGCAGAAGGTCCCAGGTTCAATACCTGGAATCTCCAGCTAAAAGGATCAGGGAGAAAGTGATGTTAAAGATCTCCATCTGAGACCCTGGGGAGATACTGCCAGTATGAGCAGACAATACTGACTTTAGGGGGGAGGCTGTGGCTGAGTAGCAGGGCATCTGCTTGGCATGCAGAATGTCCCAGGTTCAGTCCCTGGCATCTCCAGCTGAAAGGATCAGGGAGGAGATCAGGGAGGAGGTGATGTGATAAACCCAGGGCTATTTTTGGGTAGGAACGCACAGGAACGGAGTTCCGGCTGGCTCCGGAGTTGGCCACGCCCAGCAGGAACTCATTAGCATAATAGGCCACACCCAACAGCAGAAACTCATTAGGATTGGCTACATTAGGGGTGTGTGGCCTAACATGCAAAGGAGTTCCTGCTACAAAAAAACCCTGGGTTTTGACAACAAACAAGGTAAACAGAATAAGAAGCAAAAGGTGGGTGTGGCTGGATGACCAGACTTCTGGTAACATGGGGGTGTGGCCTAGTATGCTAATGAGCTGTGTTGTCAGGGGTGTGGCCTAATATGCTAATGAGTTTATGCTGTTGGGTGTGGTCTATTATGCTAATGAGTTCCTGCTGGGCTTTTTCTACAAAAAAAGCCCTGGATAAACCTCTGCCTAAGACCATGGAGAGCTGCTGTCAGTCTGAGTAGACAATACTGATGGTCTGATGTAGTATAAGGCAGGTTCTTTTGTGCGTATAAGAGGGGCCACAACTCAGTATATGCTCTGAGTTCAAATCTAGCATCTTTGTTTAAAAGGCTCCAAGGTAAAAGTGATAGGAAAGACTTCTGGCAGAGAGCCGTTGCCAGTCAGAGACACTTCTGGTTGAGCTGTTGAATGATCTGAGTCAGTGTAAGGCAGAATGTGCAAAAACGGAATTTTCAAGTCTTGCAGAATAGCCCTGAATCTTAGCTCCTATTCACAACAGTGGAAGAAGTAAAACTTTGGAGTGCTTGGCACATACCCAGTTGGATGATTTCAATTCCCTGGTGCTTGGCAGCCAAGTTCCTCAACTCCTAAAAGAAAAAAACAAATCCAGAGACTTGTGACCCAAGAGGAAGTCTGGAAAATGGGTTTAGTTGAGATAGTATTGGAAGAAAGGTGGGAGGAGATGAAGTCCCTCCTGGATTCTAAGTTCAGAAGAGATGCATCTGTTGCACTGAAATGACCCACGTATCTTCAGGACTGCCTCCTCTGGTATACCCCCTGAAGAGTGCTACGCTCTGCAGGGGAAAACCTACTGGTGATCCCCAGCCCGAAAGATATCCAGCTGTCCTCAACCAGAGCCAGGCCTTTTTGGCCTCTCTGCCAAATAACACCCGCGGACTGCAGGACATAATGCAGTTCCACACAGTTTGCAAGGCAGAGGTGTTCTGCCGGGCTTTTTGATGACGACAGTGACAAGTTCCACCTCATCTGCCACTCCCTCCCACCGTTTTCTGCCCTCCCCACCAAGCAGTGGCAAAATGTGAAGATTTTAGCACCATCTGGTTATGTCTTAACCGTGTATTATTTTATTGTTCTGAACCGTTTTTATTAATTTATGAATATTTTTATGTTGTTCACCGCCCTGAGCCTTGTATATAGGTTGGAGGGCAGTCTAAAAGTTTAATTTATAAATAAATAAATACAAAATAAGTGTCCTGCAGCAAACAGATTGCAGGGGGTAGCTATGATAGTCAGTCGTTGCACAATAAAACAGAAGTCCAGTGGCACCTTAAAGACTGACAATGTACATTTCAATATGAGCTTTTGTGAGTCACTCACAGCTCACGTTTTCACATACGTATGCAAGGGGGAAATCATGCTGGGAAATCTTGTGGGGTCTAGAGAGGAAAGGGACAGGAGGCCAGGGCTTGGTGTGAACGACACCATGAGTATTTCCAGTGTAAATTCTCAATGTAAGGGGGAAATTAAGAACCTGGTGTAGAATGGTTAGGCATGAGTCCCATCATAAACCAACAGAATTAGCTGTTGGATGTTACTGGATGGTAAGGGAGGTCAGAGGTTCAAATAAAGAGATAACAGCAATCCAACTTGTAGGAAGCATCCTGCTCAGATTAGGGAATCCAAGGAGAGTGTTTCAAGATATAGCTGCTTTCACATGAGAGGATTTGCTCTGCATTGGCTCTCAAACTGAAGCAGGGGTTTTCAGAGCACCCATGCATCATTGTCTCTGCTTGGGGAGGGGCCATAGTAAGAGTATCTAATTGGCATGCAGAAGGTCCCAATTCCAAGTAAAAGGATCAGGTAGGATGTAATGTGAAAGACCTCAGCCTGAGACCCCAGAGAGCCACAGCCAATCTGAGTAGGAAATATTGACCTTGATGGATTTATGGTCTGTTCAGTATAAGGCAATTTCATGTGTTCATGTTATGTATTTATTTCTATTTATGTACTGCTTTTCTCCCCAAGGGGAACCCAAAGCACCTTACAACATTGGTTTTTAAACCTTGTGGATTTTATCCTCGTGACAGTCCTGTGAGGAACCTTAACCTGGATCCTTGTTCAGGAGTCTCCAACATGGTGCCTGGGGGTGTTACGGTGCCTGGCAACACTTTTCCTGTCCCCCCCCCACCTAGCGTTTTCAGAAAGTGGACAGGGCTAGGTAGGGCTTTTGCCCAGCAGGGCTTACAACTGGCTGTGCAGATAAAAAAGGCATCATGTTAAACAGAGCTTCTGACTGAAATGTTGAAGAGTTACTATTAGAGATATATAATCACACTCCTTGACGTTTTGTGGTTGGCTTCACCTCCTGCAGCAGCCATTTTGTGATTGTGCCCACTGCCCTGTGTCGGAATTCCAAAGGCTCAAAAAGGGGTCCTTGTCCTGGTTTGTCACTCTAACCACTATGTCACGCTTGCTTAAAAAAAAAAACTAGCAAAAAGCACTCTGGTGTCATGTTGTTCAGAGGACTGGCAGGCACAGAGGGTTGCCATGGAGAATATTTATTTGAGAATCTCTCTCCCATGAGGGCACTCCACTGCTGGCGCAAATGATTCTGTACTGGTTTATATAACCAATTCCATAAAAAGAAATATCGGGCCAAGTATTAGCCTCAGTTCAGAATAAAATCATACATTAATCCCAAAGACAGACCATTATTGACCCTGACCAAATACGTTTTGGCCAATTGGCCTTTCTCAGTGGTCAAACAATGTTGTTACAGAATGGCTCCCTCCAGGCATTGCAATAATACAGTCATTTCTTAAACTTAGACCAATTGAAATTGTTTTATAATCAATGTCTGTGACCTAAGGCAGAGATAAAAATCAGAGGCTTCATTTTAGATAACTTGCTGTCATCGTCAGGTACACTTCTCTCGAATAATTGTATACTTTTCTCTCCTAGTAATTTTTTTTTAAGATGCCGTCTGAATCCAACAGTAATGTAGTAGTGCCGAAACATGTTTGGTCAGGGTCAGTAATGGTCTATCTCTGAGCCTATATTTGTTTTTATTGAATCTGTAATAAATACATGTATATTTTCATATATTTGATAATATTTATGTTTCAAATTTAGACACAGAACTATTGGGCCTTTATATTCTGATTTCATTAACCTTTCGGTTCTTAATTCAATCCGTCCGTCGTCCCCCCCTTGTCTTTTACTGCAGTGACTGCACAATAGGGAATTATCCCCATGTGGAAGCAACCTACATTTCATATAGAAAAAGGACTTGGGAAATGTGTGTGGCAAACCCACCCTCTGGCACTGTCCTCATGATCAGTGACCCAACCAGAAATCAGAACTTAATGCTCCAGGTGCATTCTTCAATACCATTTTCTGAAAGCGACTCGTGCAATATTAAATACATTTCTCCACATCTTACGGTGGGAGTTACAGTGTCGCGACTGCAGCATTAAAAACCTATATTCCTGCCATGCTAGTATTTCAGAACATCTAACTTGGATTATTTCAAATACACTCTTAAGATCATTCATCATAAAGGGCAGTTAACTGGCATTTGCCCTGACCTGGGTTGCCCAGGCTGGCCCAATCTTTATCAGTTCTTGGAAACTAAGCAGGGTCAGCCCTGGTTGGTACTTGGATGGGAGACCACCGAGGAACTCCAGACATGGTAAATAGAGGAAGAAATGACAAACGACCTCTGCTTTGAAAACCCCGAGAGGTCACCATATGTTGCCTGCGACTTGATGGCACTTTACACACACACTCAATTGGCGTTTAAGAGCTCTTTCAGATATCCTCAACTGCCCCACTATTCAGAAGCTTAAGAACAAAACTCACCAAAGAATTTAAACCTCTGTCCTTCTGGACACCATATCCATGGCATCCAGGGGCATTCTCTTATTCCGGCCCCTATCCCAGTATCTACTCGAGGGCTCACCTGAGCACGGGGTCCCTCTGGGTCTCTGCAGGTTGCAAAAATCCACTCTGGCCGGTTGCTTTTCTCCGACAGCTGTCTGATAAACTCCAAGCCAATGCCTCGGTTGGATCCAGTCACCAGGATGCTTCGTGTGTTCAGCATCGCTGCCTTGTCTGCCATTGCCTGACTCGTGAATCCCCTAATATGTGCAGCCAAGATTATATTCTCCAGTTACTCCGCCCAGGCTTGCATAATTTACTTAGCTCTTGTGGAATATGGCCATTGGCTACATTCCAGAAACACACAATTGCACAGGACACCAGAAAATTGAAGGGGGGGAGGTATGATGGTATGACAGCCCCGTCCACTTCCCTCCCTCACAGGCAAGATTTTCCCTCCTTTTTTCTTTCCCTTTACTGACTGAGCTACCCCAGTAATGTGTTTTCTCCTTTGCTGAAGAACTCTGGCTGTCCCACCCTGTCACAGGAGAATATTTTGGGTGCTGCCTCAGCCCAGGAACCTGAGGGAAGGATCAGGAGCCCACTTTAACTTAAACTAAATGGCACTCAAGGTGTTTTAAAATTCAAAAATAACAAAATATTTTATTTAACATAGGGGGAAAGGTCAGGTAAAATCAGGGGTTGGAATTTCTGAGGTAAAATCAGTACATGCACAGACTTTAGTTCTTATGTTTCAGGCTAAAGATAATTTCTTAAGCTTTTCACAGTAACTTAAATCTATATGTTGAGAGGCTTTTGTTCCAGTGCTTTCCCAAACACTCCAGTCCACTTTATTTGAATATTCTCTGACTCTTTTGGTTTCCAGAAGGATGGTACACTCTCTCCAGTACCCAGACCCCTTCTCTTGAAACACCAGAACTCGTCTTGAGTTTTTAACTAACTCTTACCCCATTCTGCATCTAGCATTTGCTCTGCTGTTCTACCAAACCCATGCTGATTCAAATACCTCAGACCAACGCTGGGTTGCGGTTGTTAGGGTTAGGGTTACTAGGGTTAGGGTTATTAGGGTTAGGGTTATTAGGGTTAGGGTTATTAGGGTTAGGGTTGTTAGGGTTAGGGTTATTAGGGTTAGGGTTGCTATGGTTAGGTTATTACGGTTAGGATTGTTAGGGTTAGGGTTTTTAGGGTTAAAGTAAAGGTAAAGGTTCCCTTGCTCAAAAGCCAGTTGAATCCGACTCTAGGATTGTGGTGCTCATTTCCATTTCAAAGCCGAAGAGCCAGCACTGTCCGAAGACATTTCCGTGGTCATGTGGCCAGCATGACTAAACACCAAGGCGCACGGAACGCTGTTACCTTCCCACTGAAGTGGTACCTATTTATCTACTTGCAATTTCTTGCTTTCGAACTGCTAGGTTGGCAGGAGCTGGAACTAGAGACTGGAGCTCACTCCGTCGTGCGGCATATTCGGGTCTCGAACTGCTGAACTACTGACCTTCCACAGCCTGCAGTTCAGTGTCTTAACACTTATTAGTTTTAGTGTTAGGGTTATTAGGGTTAGGGTTTTTAGAGGTTGGGTTATCAGGGTAAGGGTTACTAGGGTTTGGGTTACTAGGGTTAGGGTTATTAGGGTTAAGGTTGTTAGGGTTATGGTTATTAGGGTTAGGGTTGTTAGGGTTAGGGTTTTTAGGGTTAAGGTTATTAGGGTTAGGGTTGTTAAGGTTAGGTTTATTAGGGTTGTTAGGGTTAGTGTTACTAGGGTTAGAGTTATTAGCGTTAGGGTTGTTAGGCTTAGGGTTATTAGGGTTAGGGTTATTATGGTTAGGGTTACTAGGGTTAGAGTTATTAGTGTTAGGGTTAGAATTGTTAGGGTTAGGGTTAGGATTGTTAGGGTTAGGGTTGTTAGTCCCATCTGAGGACTATTTATTTCTTTATTTACGGGATATGTTGCAGATGGATATGAGGATGTGGCCTCTACCCTATGAAAACTACTTCCATACTCCCTGACCTGAATAGCCCAGGCAAGCCTGATCTCATCAGATCTCGAAAGCCAAGCGGGGTCGATTCCGGCAAGTCCTTGGATGGGAGAACTCCTTGGAATACCAGAGGTGGGGGCAGGCTTTATTCAGTTACCTCTCTGAATATCTTCCAGGTCCCCAGTAGGGGTCACTCACCAGAGGTCGCCATGACTTCCAGGTGCACACACACTCTCACACACATGCACATATTTTCAAAATCCAAAAAAACCTCCTTCCACAAAGTATTCAAAGGTTATTGACAGTGACGTACTTGGGTCCTTAATCTAAATACTTACACTGAGTCAGTGAAAAAATCCTAAAACAACTTTATTGTGCCATGGCCAAAGAATCCTTCCTAACTTCAAAAGTTACAAAAGCACTCTTTGTTCTTTTCCATGAGAACTTACATTTATATTCCAGTTGTTGTCACCTTTCCATCACTTCCACTCCTCCAGTCACATAGCAACTCAATACGTCCAATAATCCAATAATAGAAGGCAAAAACAAGTGTAGTAAACAGACTCACAAATTGCCAAAATGCGAAAGAACATGTAATAGAAAGTAGCGAATACAAAGTAGCCACATAAGAAAAATACAAAATGGAAACAATGAAGAACTGTGTAATAATACACTACAATAGAAAAATCCACAGCATAATAGAGAACCAAATGTTATAACGCGACGTTGTTTCCGGATGTTTGATTACAATGTTTCAACGTTCATCCTTCATCGGGGTGTTCCCTTTAAGGTGCTGTGGTTTCCATACTTTTACTCACATGCACTGGGAACAATAGCAATTTAATACAAGAACGGACGCAAATCTCCAATGTGTAATCAGCTACAGCAGCTACAGCAGCTACAGCTGTCGGCCCTGCTGGAAGTCTGAAGAGTCATTATAAACTCAATACATCCAGTCATCTGCAGAAGTTTGCAAGTGTAGCTAATAGTGCACTGCACGTGCCTAAGAATATTTTCTCGCATTCTTGGGGTCTTTATTTACTGATAAGAATCTGTACTCATTTGGCTGAAATTGCTTCTGAAGCTTCCAGCTATTCTCCCAGCTCCTAGGGCACAAGAGTTCATTCCTCAGCAAGCAGCTTTATAAAACGGCATTAAGTCATGCTAAAGGGTAATTTCCCCTTCATTACAGACTGTAGTTACTCTGCGTTATTATAGGATTGCATTTTTAAAAATCTGTTTTTAAACTGCTGCCAAATCCGTATTTGGTTTTGCTGTAATGCAAAGTCATGTATTAGGAGTAAAGCTCATTGAAAGAAGTGTGATTTTATGAGAAGCAAACATGCCTAGATTTTAGGGTTGCCAGCTCCAGGTTGGGAAATACCTGGAGGTTTGGGGGGGTGGAGTCTGAGGAGGGTGGGGATTGGGGAGGGGAGGGACTTCAATGGGGTATAACGCCACAGAGTTCACCTTCCAAAATGGTCATTTTCCCCAAGTGAACTGATCTCAGTTGCCTGGCAGTTGTGCCAAAGACAATAAGGAACCCTTATCAGTGTACAAGTATAGCCACATGGTTAAAGGCTGCATGGCAGGTTGCCTTGTAGAGAACCCTAGGATTCCATTGAAGTATTGAGCTGTGCCTATGTTATTTTGAAAATTGGGGTGAGATACATTTTTCCTGTTTTTGAACTGATATATGCATTATGCAGTCAATCTTGTCTTTCTATGTATATTTATGATTGGTTCACAGTTCTGTTTTACCAGCCGCTGTTGAAGATCATTGAAACATTTTGATTTATGCCTGGGAGAGGCGTTTGCTGTTATTCTTTCCACAGTAGGCATCCTCTGCTGCAGTTACTTTCTGTTTGGAGGTCTATGGACACTATCTATGCATGGAATTACAGAGGAGCCTACTGTTGGCTTTGAATATGTTCTTTTTTAAAACTATGTTTCATTGTTATGAGCAATCTGCTAGATCAATATCTATACACTTTACTGGGATATGACCACTAACCATTCTTTGTATTTCAATGAATGTGATATACAGTTTTGAGCACATATAGTTGTGAATTGTAGATGGTGAATTGTAGATGGTCTTCCCTTGGTGCACAGTGGTGCACATCGGAGCGGTGGCACAGTGGGTATATCCCACTGTCTTAACATCTGAACTGTGTTAGTTCAAGCCCCGCGCTGGTGTGAGCAGCCAGCCTGTTGTCCCCGCCTCATCGTCCACCCAGCGATTCGAAAGCTTCAGCGAGTACATAAAATGGGAACCAGTCCTTAGAGAGAGTGGGCATGCCAATCTCCCTTGTGGGAGGGTGTTAGCTGACGGTCGGACGTCCTGGTCGAGGTTCGGAAAGGTGAAATAACTTCTCGGCTACGAAAGAATCCCTGCAGTGGATGTTCCGGCCAGGCGGTGGCAGTGTGCTGATTGACATACGGGTCCTGAAGCCTGGTCAACAAGCAGCCGTGCGGAAAACGACGGAGCCGAGCCAGAAGACGTCTACACCGGGCAGTGACGGCGTGTGCAATTAAATGAATATATGTTGTCTTCTCTTTCCCCTACAAACATTGTTAGTCCCTTGTCTATATTGAGTAACTGTACATCGCTTTGAGCCCACTGGGGAAAGCGATTAATAAATGGAAATAATAATAATAATAATAATAATTATTATTATTATTATTATTATTATTATTATTATTATTATTATTATTATTATGTGTTATTTGTGACCACCTGGCAGTTGGCAATACTACTACATTTAGTAACTCAGTTTCTCCTTGGGATTTCTTGCCACAGCCTGGAAGGAAAGCCTGTGGAACCACCTCACCTGCCTCAGTCTTTAAAAGCTATAGCTCTTCTGCCTATAAGGGCCATCTCCTAACTGATCCCGGACTCAGATGCAAAGCTGCAGGGCTACATGTGGCTGCAAGGGGGCGGCCTTATCGTGAAGCAGAGGTCCTGATGAACTCAGGGGGCTGGAATGCAAGTGGATTGCCTAAGGACACTAGAGCAGTTCATAGCCATGCACAAGAGCATTCTAAAAACCCAGCCTGGATCCACTTCAGTCAGTAGAGTGGTGCTCCTGTATGGCAAGTAACTGTCCCAAAGTCCCAGAGAAAGAAAGCAGAGTTGGCAGCCTCTGTGTGAGTGGAGAGAATGACACTGCCCAGTTCAAGCCTTGGCAGCTTCATGATGCTACCTGGCAGCCAGGGGGCATTGCCCCCTCCAGGACATCATGGGGAGCTTGAGCCCCACTGCCCTCCCATAGTTTATGCCCCTGCCAGTTTTACTAGCCTGTGTTAATCCCCACCACCACATTTTTGAAATGGTATGGTACCATGCAGTGTGGTATAGTGGTTAAGAGTGTCAGGCTAGCATCTGGACAGCTCCAAGAGGGAACTGGATAAACATATGGAGCAGAGGTCCATCAGTGGATATAAGCCACAAGGTATAGATAGAGACTCACAGGCTGGGGCAGGTGATGCTCTGTATTCTTGGTGCTTGGGGGGGGGGCAACAGTGGGAGGGCTTCTAGTGTCCTGGCCCCACTGATGGATCTCCTGAGGACACCTGGTATTTTTGGCCACTGTGTGACAGAGTGTTGGACTAGATGGGCCATTGGCCTGATCCAACATTGGCTACTCCTATGTTCTTATGTTCTTATCTGGGAGCATCAGGTTTGAACTCCCACTCTCGCCATGGAAGTTCACTGGATGACCTTGGACAAGTCACACACTCTCAGCCTTAACCTACCTCACAGGGTTGTTGTGAGGATGAAATGAAGGAAAGGAAAATGATGTAAGCTGCTTTGCCTTCCCATTGGGGAGAAAGGTGGAGTATAAATTAGACAGATAGATGATAGAAGATAAATAGATGATGGATGGATGGATGGATGGATGGATGGATGGAATCTATTTCTCTATTTATTCTTCTTGTTGGTAGCTGGAAACGCAGGTAAGAAACAATGTATCTGGAGTATAAACCCTGAAACTGAACATAGGGCCAAAACTGAGTCACAACAGTTGGAAAGGGGGACAGACCCTCTGAATTAATTCTTGCATTAATTCCTAGTTTTTGTCAATTCCATCAGTATTGGAATGAGAATTTGTAAGCATTTGGCTGAATTCAGCCTAGCATTGTCTGTTTTACAGTCATAATGAGAATGATTGAGATCCAGTTAAGTGAGGGGTGGGGGGACATAAACAGGTCTTGAACAAAGGCAGTTGCTTAATATATAAACAAACCCTGGTAATTCTTAGCCATAAGAACTAATGAGAACTGATCTTCCTCCTCCGTTTCATTTTTATTGATGGGTGGTGTTCACTTGTAGTAAAGGGTAAAGGTAAAGTTTTCCCTTGCTCGAAAGCCAGTCGAATTTGATTCTAGGGTGCGGTGCTCATCTCCATTTCCAAGTCAAAGAGACAGCACTGTCCAAAGACATCTCTGTGGTCATGTGGCCAGTGTGACAAGACGCCAAGGCGCATGGAATGCTGTTATCTTCCCACCAAAGCGGTACCTATTTATCTACTTGCACTTTCTTGCTTTCGAACTGCCAGGTTGGCAGGAGCTGGGGCCAGAGGCAGGAGCTCACTCCGTCATGCGGCACTCGGGTCTCGAACTGCTGACCTACCGACCTTCCAGTCTATAGTTCACCGTGGCCCCAATTCACTGGTAGTACTATGTGTCAAATGTTAATTGCTGTGAGCCACTTTGGGAGTTGTGTCTGAAAAAGAACAACTGGGGGGGGGGAGAGATAAATGAACCCATGTACACTAAATAAAAGGGGCTAGTTTGCACCTGGCCACAGCGTGGAAGGAAGAGAGAGATCTGAAGTTTCAGCAAGTTATGGTAAATTTATTGCAGGTGAAGGTGAAGTCAGCCAGGCATTCATGTCCCTCGTCCTCTCCATACATCATGAGGCATTTCTCCTGCAAGGCGGGGCAAGTTGGGGTCTCACCAAGGCACGACTGCCCCCTCCCAGCTCACAAAAGTCCCAGTGTCTTTCTCAGTGAGACGGCCGAAGGTGTTCAGGATGGCTTGCACGCTGGTGTCCAATGCCATTGGTGCTGGTCCCTTTGAAAAAAGAATAGGGAGTCACATAAGGTCGCCAGCCTCTATGTTGGAAAAAAGTCAACCACAAATGGACGTGCAGCATATGTGAGTATGCAAACCACCAGGAAGAAAAATAACACTGTAAACATAAAGTATTAGACAACAAACTGTGTCCTTAAAATGAATTAGTATTTTCTTTTACAGTCCTTTTTTACAGAAGTTATTGATCACTCCCTTTTTGTCTCTGAACACAGTCACAGATAAAGCAGCTACGGATTGCCTAGGTTGCCATCTGTTTTTTTCTGACTTCTTCAGGCTGTTGTCTCAGTGGTGGAGCCCCAAAAGCTCTAGAAGTTAACTCTGACTTTGCAGTCTGTCTTGCTTCAATTCGGCACTCCTGCTGGGCTCTCCAGACGACAGAGATCAGTTTTGCTGAACCAAACGGCAGTTTTGGAAGGTGGACTCTACAACATCATACCCTGCTGAGGTCCCTCCCCTCCCCAAACTTTGCCTTTCCAAGGCTCCACCCCCAAATATGCAGGAATTTCCCAACATGGAGCTGGCAACCTTAGGATCCAAGGAGGATGTGGCACTGGCGAGTCAGACTGACCAAGCCTGTAAATTGTAGCACTCATGTATCACGTTCAGACATCCAGCGCCAAAAGAAAAGCATTCTGGAATGCTGCCCCCTCTTTATAGAACTCCATGTCTCTGGAGGGTCACCTCAACATACTTGGAAGTAGTGTATGATCTGTGCAATTGGGACCATACAGTTAAAATGTATTATAATGAACCGTTCAGTACCACAAGGTATACTGATGACCACTAGCTTAGATGGCTTTTTCGAAAAGGCTAGACAAGACCTATCAATGGCTGTTATCCACAATAAACATGGATGGAACCTTCTTGTTGAGTCTGGGGGTGAAATCCTAGAAGCCACCAATCATCCCCGTATGGGCTATAGCAAGAGATGGGCAGGCTCCCCCTGCTGCACCTGCCTCACTCTCTATTCCTTCACTTCATTTCCCCCAATGCATTGTGGGAACTGTAGTGCTCAGAACACTTGAAATGGATGATCAGGTACTCTGGGAACAGCAAAGACCTGAAATCATTCAGTGGGTGGTGGGGAAACGATGACATGAGGTATATTCGGAGTACGTAGTTTAGGGTTACTGGTCTCAAGGTGGGGCCCAGAGTTCTCCCGGAGTTACAATTTACAACTGATTTATATATGGCAATGATCAGTGCCTTCGGAGGAAATGGCAGCTGCAGAGAGTAGATAGACTCTATGGCATTACTTCCTTGTCAAGCTCCGTTCCCTCTCCAAAATCCACCCTACCTCAGGCACTGCCTGCAAATCTCCAAGAATTTCCCAGGCTGGAGTTGGTAGCCTTAAGAGTTCTGTGCAGACTTGATCATCAAAGTCAGATGTTCTCAGAAATACAAGAAAGATGGAGGGATGACCCTGCAAGAATGTTCTCTCCCTTTGGCCATCTCCCACTGCTGCAATGTTCATCCCCATTAAACAGGAAGGATAACCTGGTGTGGGCCGGCCTGGAAAAGGAAGGGGGGATTCTTCTCTAGCCCACATTTTCCATCCAGGAGGGAACGACTTGGCCACACAGGGCCTGGCTACATGTTGATGCACTTTCCTTGTAGTCTTCTTCTTCTTAGGACTTCACAATCAGGTATGCATTGCAAGTTTCAGGCTGTTAACTCTCACTGTGTATAGGAATGAGTCTGCACAGGATGGCCTGTGTCGAGGAATGAAGTTGCACCATGAAGCACCTACCGCTGCATTTCCCATGTCTGTCTGCACCCATCCAGGATGCAATGCGATGCACAGGATCTCGTCTTCTGCAAATCCCAGGGACTGGCACCGGGTGAGCATGTTCAGAGCAGCCTAGGAGGGAGACACAGCAGAAGCAAGGAGAGGAATGATGCATCCAGCCCAGTTCTTAATTTTAATGACATGAACTGAGCGAAGACTTCCACCTTTGTATGTTATGTACATCCCTACCTTGCTGCAGCGGTAACTAATAACATGTCCAAGTTCCCATCCAAGGACATTGGCGATGGAGCCGCCGTCGCTGGACACGTTGACAATGGCGGCTTTGCTGCAGCTCATCCCTTTCTGGGGGCTTTCCCGAGACGCCTTCCTCAGCAAGGGCAGGAAAGCCTGGAGGTGGAGAGGGAAGAATCAAGGACAGACACACGGGCTGCAGGAAGAAGAGCTGGCGTCCCCCTTCATCTCCTCCCTAGCCCCAACCAGGGATATGGCAGCAGTTGAATCTCTGTTATGTGATGCTGCTGTCAAGTCCATCACAGCATCTTTGCCTGGGAAACAGGCAGTGATCCTGCCCAGGATCCCACCACCACCAAGAAGCTCTGCCTTTCTTAAGGTCACTAGCTATGCAATCCTAAGTAGAGTTGTACCCATCCGAGCCCATTGACTTCAGTAGAACAGTGTGATTCTGCTTACGGTTGCCCTATTAGGTCATGGTCACACGGTCATTTTGATCAGGTTTCACAACTGTTCCCTATCACATTTAAAAGGGCTGATCAGACAGCCGATTCTGTATAGTAAGTAATATACTTTATTGTCATTGTACATAGTACAACAAAATTAAGATGCAATCATTTCAGTGATCTTACAACAATATTCATATACACTCACACAACCATTCACAACTATCTCATAACTCCCTTAAGGTTCACGTAGCAACTTAAAACCACTAATGTCACCCAAATTCCAATTTCATACAGCATTTAAGGCAGTAATAGCTCTCGAAGAAAAACTATTTTTTAATCTGTTTGTCCTTGTTTTAATTGTCCTATATCTTCTGCCCGAAGGCCACACCTGCGGACTCACCCCTGCAATCCTCCCGGTTTTCTAGCACATTTTCCAACACTGGGGAAATTAAGAACTTTCCTACTACTTGCGCTGTGAATCCGCAATTTCTCCTATCTGGACAGCCATCTCTCACTGTGAATGAGATTAGATCATCTGTATGTCCTTCTTGCAGTAGTTCCCCCCCCCCCCCGACTTTCACCATTGTGTGCACGACCAGTCCTGCACTGAATATATTAAATGCATGAACACTCAAGCGCACATAAAACAGCACTCGGTTACATGTCGGTAATTCATTTTGTTCAGTGCAACACATTTAAAAAAAAATTATGCCACACTGCCACTTGGGCGGCACAGCTGTCTGGATAGTGCCTGGAGCCTCGTCGCACAATGCAAGCGGTTTGGCAAAGGATGTGTGATCATCTGAACCCACTAAAAAGTATCTCCAATCAAATCTACAGCGGGAACAAATTGCGGTAAACTTGCCGTGTGACCACACCCTTGATACACAAATCTGTGCCTGCATACTCCAAATCTCAAGAGCTGCAAATCTGATTAAAAGTTGCAGTGAATGTACGTGCAATCTATGTGGGGGGTACACTTGTTTTTTTCTTCATATGTCCGTTGACTAATTCTCATGTTACATCCAATGCATGTGTAGCTCGACTCATGATTTAAACCCTGTCTTTATCCAAGTTACTGGTCCATAAGAACATAAGAGATGCCAATGTTGGATCAGGCCAAAGGCCCATCCAGTCCAACACTCTGTATCCCGCAGTGGCCAGAAATACCAGTGCCATCAGGAGGTCCACCAGTGGGGCCAGGACATTAGAAGCCCTCCCACTGTTGACCCCCCCCCAAGCACCAAGATGACAGAGCATCACTTGCCCCAGAGTCCCTATCTATACCTTGTGGCTAATAGCCACTGATGGACCTCTGCTCCATATGCTTATCTAATTCCCTTTTGAAGCCGTCCATGCTTGTAGCTGCCACCACTTCCTGTGGCAGTGAATTCCAAGTGTTAATCACTCTTTGGGTGAAGAAGTACTTCCTTTTATCCGTTCTAACCCGACCGCTCAGCAATTTCATGGAGTGCCCACGGGTTCTTGTATTGTGAGAAAGGGAGAAAAGTACCTCTTTCTCTACCTGCTCTTTCCCATGCATAATCTTATAAACCTCAATCATGTCACCCCTCAGTCGTCGTTTCTCCAAGCTAAAGAGCCCTAAGCGCCTTAACCGTTCCTCATAGGGAAAGTGTTCCAACCCTTTTATCATTCGAGTTGCCCTTTTCTGCACTTTTTCCAAAGCTATAATATCCTTTTTAAGGTGTGGTGACCAGAATTGCACACAGTATTCCAGATGAGGTCGCACCATTGATTTATATAGCGGCATTATGATATTGGCTGATCTGTTTACAATACCCTTCCTAATAATCCCCAGCATAGCATTGGCCTTCTTTATTGCAGTCACACACTGTCTCGACATTTTCAGTGAGTTATCTACTACAACTCCAAGATCTCTCTCTTGATCAGTCTCTGCCAGTTCAGACCCCATCAACGTGTATTTATAGTTAGGATTTTTGGCATCACCTTGCACTTGGCCACATTGAACCCCATTTGCCATGTTGACGCCCACTCGCCCATCTTTGACAGATCCCTTTGGAGTGCCTCACAATCCTCACTGGTTTTCACCACCCTGAACAACTTCGTATCATCCGCAAATTTAGCCACTTCACTGCTTACTCCCAACTCCAAATCATTAATGAACAAGTTAAAAAGCAGTGAACCAAGTACTGATCCCTGCGGTACCCCACTGCTTACCCCCCTCCACTGAGAGAACTGCCCATTTATACTCACTCTGTTTTCTATTAATTAGCCAGTTTTTGATCCATGATTTTTGAGCTTATTAAGAGCCTTTGATGAGGAACTTTATCAAAAGCTTTCTGGAAGTCAAAGTAAACAATATCTATTGGATCCCCCTTTTCCACATGTTTGTTCACCCCCTCAAAGAACAGTGTCATTTTCATTTTTCATTTTCATTTTTCATTTTTCCACAGTTTCATTTGTAAAGCAAAGGTATGTTGGCTGTTTCCTGCAGGCAGGTGAATGCATATAGGGTAACGTGAAAACACGGCTTCTGTAACATGATTACGAGAAGAGCCCCCGAGACATCCTTACCTGGCTCATCAGCATGGGCCCAATCACATTGGTTTTGTACACCTCGGCCATGTCCTCTGCTGTCTCCGATTCCAGACTGCTTGGCTTTACAATCGCAGCATTGTTGATCAGGAGATTCAGCCCGGCTCCTTGCAGGTGTTCTGTGACTCTGGCTGCAGCAGCCTGGATGCTGGATGGATCACTAGTATCTACAGCAGCAAAGTTTTACAGGTAACTAAAGGTGAGTCACCACCTGCTAGGAAGCAGTTCTGCAGACCTTTGCTCAAGTGCCTTTACCGCATGCACGCTTGTTGCTCTCACAGGGCAGAAAACTAAGGGTCCTTTCACATAGTGAGCTGATTAACCCGTGCATGTAAAAAAACCCCCTTACATGTACAAATAAGAAATAGGTAACATATGTGTGTACACAACTACTATCGTGTGTTGCTGTTGTTAATCCTTCCTGTTTAAATTCCCCACTGAGGAGGCAACAGAGGGAAGGGAAGAAGGTAGAGATGAGATTAAATGTGGGCATGAAAATATGTCCAGTTCAGGGGTAAGGTTAAGGTAAAGGTGCCCTTGCTCGAAAGCCAGTCGAGTCCGAATCTAGGGTTGCGGTGCTCATCTCCATTTCAAAGCCGAAGAGCCAGCGCTGTCCGAAGACGTTTCCATGGTCATGTGGCCAGCATGACTAAACACCAAGGCGCACGGAACTCTGTTCCCTTCCCACCGAAGTGGTACCTATTTATCTACTTGCAATTTCTTGCTTTCGAACTGCTAGGTTGGCAGGAGCTGGAACTAGAGATGGGAGCTCACTCCATCATGCGGCACCCGGGTCTCAAACTGCTAAACTACTGACCTTCCACAGCCTGCAGTTCAGCGTCTTAACTACTTGAGCCACCACAGCTCCACAGTTCAGGGGTACAGACCCATTTAAGCCATGGATGAGGACTAAGGGATTGTGCCCATGGCTTCCAGAAAGGGCTTCCAGAGTGAGCACGCATGATGGACAGGGTGTGTGAGAGGATTAAAAGGATGTGTGAGAGAGAAAGGGAGGCAGCATCACATGGGTGTTCTGGAAAGTAGCCCCAGGTGGCGGGCAATGTTCCCTCTAAGCCGTGGAGTCTTGTGAGCAAAAATTCTACTCTGTGAGCTGCTGGCATTCAAGTTGTGAGCCAGCCATTTGGCTGCTGCATAAATTAGTTTGCTCTGGAGCCATCCTTCCTGAGCGAAGACAAAAATGTGTGAGCTGGAGGCTAAACAACTGTGAGCTAGCTCACACTAACTCAGCTTAGAGGGAACACTGGTGGCGGGTACAGCAAGGGCCCAAAGGGAGAGACATGAGCCAGGGTCTTTCTGCATGAATACTTTCAATGAATGTCTAATCCAGGCTTCCCCAGCGTGGTGCCCACTGGCACCATGACACCATGCCATGCTTTTCAGAAAAGTAGGTGGGGCCATTGTAAATCTTGGCTTGTTTTTGGCTTCCCTCATTCACATGAAGGAGTTTTCCACTGGAGGATGAGGAGGACCAGTAGCCACCAGTTCTTTCCTTAGTCAGGGTGTGGTTCCACTCCTCCTTCAGGGTTTCCTTCTTCCCAGGAGGTGTGAGGAAGGCGGCATTGTGTTTGGCCCTGCCTCCCAATTTTGGCAGCCATTTTGGAGTGGCACTTCCACCTCCTGTGGAAGCCATTTTGGAGTGGCACTCAGCACTCTCTCTCAAAATTCCAGAGGTGCCCACAGCGTCAGAAAGGTTGGGGACCCCTGGTCTAACCCATTTTTTTGGCTCTTGCCGAATGCATGCCTTTTGGTTCTCTTACTGACAAGCCCCTTGTCTCTTCTGTCATCGCAAGGCAAGCACCGTGTCTTCACATCTAAAAAAAAGAACCTCTTAAGATGCTAGATCTTCTCCACGATTAGGTGGAACCCCATGACTCTGCATGTTTGAACAATGCATGGAACGCATCCCAGTAAAGGAAAGCATTGTGTTGTTTTCTGCCAAAAGGACTCATTCTCGCCAGGCATAGTCATGACGTTTGAGTAATCACAATACTGACAAAGAGCAAGGGATGAATCACGTGGTCCCAACAAAAGCTCTTTGGAAGCTGGCGGGAGTAGCGTAAAGCTCTCAGCCAAGGAGCTACTTGTGTGGATGCACCATTGATGTTGCCAGTGCCTCCACATGGGGTATGGCCCCCATAATTTGGCAGAATTACTACCTTTCGTTTTTCAGAATTTTGCAATCACACATGGAGCAGCGGCATTGCTATATAACATGATCTGGGCCCGTGAATACACTACCTCACAAGACGTATTAAGATTTCCTTTCCTGAAGGCTACTGTTTGATCTCTCGAAGAGAGACGAGAAAGGCCCAAGTCCTGTGACAGATGTCATAACTCTGATTCAGTCTCAGGTTAAAAGTCACCCCAGGTCAAGAGACTGGGAAAGTTCTGCAGAGCTACTGCCAGTCGGAGAAAACAATACTAGGAAAGATGTCAAATGGTCTGACAGTATCAGGCAGCTTCATACATTTGAGGGGAAAATTGATCCCATTTCCTGAAGCACAAGTCTAACTTAAACTAAACTCATGCTGGAAACAGGGAACGAATATGCTTGTGGTATGCTTACTTGCTTGCTTAACTTACTGCTCTTCTGACACAAGGGTCATGAACAGATCAAAATCCAACCCTCTCACGTGGGCAATCGCAGCAACGAAATATTTAGCAACTGCTAAGGTTGCTTTCCAATTTTCATCTACAAGGAAAGACTGGATATTTTTTTTTTTTGAGATGCTAAATTCATATAACCTTTTAAGAGGAAGGACAAGTACCTTTCTCTCAGATCAGACCAGACTTCACACTCCAATAAAAATATGTTCTAAGAACTTACATTGATTGACCAGATCCACATTTACAAACTCTGTCCAAATACATTGTGCCTGCAAATCGGCTTTTCAGTATAGCCAAGGGAAAAGAATTTAATCGAGTGAGCTCATCTATAAATAGGGACTGTTAGGTCTTTTAAGTAGCTCGAAATAGTGCACAAGGAGGGAGCACCAAAGAACACTGGTAAATATACATGCCGTGCCCTCAGTAAGGTACATGTAGGGCTTTTCCACATTCTCATTTTACTCAGTGTTAAGTTCCTGTTTTGGGGTCGTCGTGTCCCCCCCCCCCGTTTCCCTGTTTTGCTCCCTCTAGTGGTTGATTCAATATCAAACAGCTTTATTTCAAGCTTATCTCCCTGCAGTTTAAATCTGCAGGAAATTAAGCCGGAAATAAGCTGTTTGATAGCAAATCAACCAGGAGAGGGAGCAAAACACGTGCAGAACAGCCCCCCCCCCCAAAAAAAAAACATAGGCACTCAGTAGCAAGTAAAATGAGAATGCAGAAAAGCCCCTAATAACATGCATGTAAAATGCAACACAATGACCTCGTGGACTGGCCATGATTCTCAGATCCATGTAACAAATGGGAATTTGGTGCACTTGACTCATACCCAGTGGAATGATCTCCACTCCTTGGTGCTTGGCAGCCAGGTTCTTCAGCTCCTGAAAGAGACCAAAGCTTGTGACACAAGAGAAAGACTGGTCCATTCCTGATTATGCAGGGAAGAAAGACAGGAAGAGGCTCAGGTCCCACTTGGCATCTGGTTTTGCCCGGGGATGCCTCCACTGCATAGACATGGCTCCATAAAAAGTGTCCTGCAACAAACGGAGTAGCTTTTCAAGAAATACCTACTCACCATGGGGAATCCAAGCTCTTTTCAAAGATATTTCACTTAAGAAAAAAAAAGTGACTTTTGGTGACTCTGGTAGGGTACCAAGGCAAGAGATGCTCAGAGGTGACGTTCAAATGGCACCTGGGTTTGGCCACTGTGTGGCTTAGAGTGTTGGACTACATGAGCCATGGGCCTGATCCAGCATGGGTTCTCTTACGTCCTTATGTTCTTAGGTGGTTTGCCATGGCCTGCCTCTACATAGTGACCCTGGACTTCTTTGGTGGTCTCCCATCCAAAGAACTAACTACACAGCCCCGTAGCTAGGGAATGTGGGGGGAGGGGGCCTCGGGGGGCCTGCCAGCTAATTAAATGAAAGTACAGTGCAGGTAGTAAGTTAGAGCACTTTGGGGGCAGCCCAGGGGAGGGGGCCCATAAGAAACACTAGGGGGCCGGGCCCCATGGGCCCCATGTTAGCTACGGGCCAGCGCCTGACCCTGTTTAGGTTTCGAGGTCCAATGGGATCGGGCTAGCCTGGGCCATCCAGGTCAGGGTCTCCCTGGTACTGTCCACATAAAAACTCAGTTGAATCCCAAACAGGGCCAGCTCCAGGTTTTGGGGGTCCTGGGCAGAGAATTTCCATGGGCTCCCCCTCTGCCTACCACCAGACCCCACCGGTCACACCTCACCCCCCCTCCTGTGCCCCCTCCCCTGCCCGTGTGTCCTTCCCCTGCTCACAAGCCTTCCCAATACCTGCATTCACAGCTAATCAAACGTGGCCTGCTGCCATAATAGCTGCCAGGGGCACCACTGCTGTGTACCACCTGTAGGCTTTTCTGAAACCATGTTGGGAGCATGGTTACTGGAGCATCTGCGAGCAAAGTGGGGGAGTGGGAGGTAGGCGGTAGGCAAGGCGGGTGGGTGGGAGGCTGGTGGCAGTGGGCCTCGCCAAAGCCCTGACCCCTGGCACCTGCCCCACCTCAGGGTATGCTGATGCCGGCCCCGAACCAGAACCTTGTATTCTCCCAAACAATTCTGCAAACCAGATCCTCGTGGATGAATTGGTGCTCTTCCCCCCCCCCCCCCCCCCAACTTCCGTACAATTTTCTGGAAAGGAAAGAAAAAAGAATCACAAGTAAGGATTCAGTGGGAATTATTATATTATAGAAACCGCAGCCTTCAAGTCTTATATTTATCCCGTGCTAATGTTTTTAGGGTATTTAACATGGGGGCGGCTAGCATCATCTCAAATTGGAGTTGCCAGTCTCCAGGTGGGGCCGGGAAGTGTCCAGGAATTGCATCTGATCTCCAGACTAAAGACCAGTCCCCCCTGGAGAAAATGACAGCTTCAGAGCTCGGACTCTGTGGCGTCACATCCCCGATGGACCCCCTCCCCTCCCCTCCCCAAACCCTGGCCTCCCCAGGTTCTACCCCAAATATCCAGGAATTTTCCAACCCAGAGTTGGCAACCCCATTTCTAACGCACAGTAAAATAATCATTCCATTAAGAAATAACTAATTTGTGTTTAAGGGATGTTAAAATGTTCCGTGGACAGTGAGCTGGACTTGGGATAGAAATCAGTTGCCCAGGTTCACAGGGATGCACTCATAGCCGACTCGAGCTTCACATTGCCCTCTGCTAAGAAGACCATTAAGTCTGGACTCCACAACAACCTCTCTGCCCCCACTTCTCCATAGAACGAAAACTGCTCTAGGGTCGCCGTCTGTAGCCTGGGGAACTCCTGGAGATTTGGGGGAGGTGCCTGTGGAGGGAAGGCTTTGGGGAGGGGCATCACCTGTCATCTTTGGCATACCGTAGAGTTTGCCCACCGAAGCTGCCATTTTCTCTAGGGGGAACCGATCTCTGTATTCTGGAGATCAGTTGTAATTCCGGGAGATCTCCAGGCCCTACCTGGAGGGTGGCAACCCCAACATTGCCCTGAGACTGGGAAGCGTAACAAGCCCTGCTCCCAAAAAATGATCCTCCATTCCCTTAGGGATCACAGATCATAGATATCACAAGGAAACAAGTCTTGTTCCGGCACCCGCTCCAGCGTGTAAGCTACCTGGGCACGTGATCCCTCTGGGTCCCGACAAGTGGCAAAGATCCGATTGCTTTTCCCCGCCAGCTGCTTGACAATCTCCAAGCCGATCCCTCGGTTGGATCCTGTCACCAAGATGCTCTGTGCTTGCAGCATTTCTGCGCCTTGTCTCTTGCTGCCTGGAGAGCCAAGCTGGGCCTGTCCTGTTCAACGGAGGGCAATCCCCAGTTCCCCCACCCAGCCTTGTGTAAGGATCTTGGCTCTGTGACAGCTCACAGGCTGAGGTTGGCTCTGTTCCCATCTATCCAGCTGCTGCCCACAATGCTCCCGAGAAGAAGAGCTTCTTGTGAGTTGTGTACGCCCCACTGCCTTGTGTGTGTCTGGTGATGGGCTTCTTGCCGGTTGAGGAGGGGCAGGGGGAATGTAACAGACTTCAGAGGCAGAGAGAGAAAGAAAAGCTGCCTGGGATGAAGCCATAGGTTAGTAACCATCCTTCCCAGTGTGCCCTTTGGACAGAACAAGATCCAGCCAAATTAATGAACTTAAAGTAGATTATTGTCTCTGCAATGTTAAGTGGGGGGCGTGGGGCATAAATAGGTCTTGAACAAAGGCTGTTGCTTGATAGCATCTGACTACCACTCCCCCCCACACAATATATAAACAAAGCCTGGTAATTCTCAATAAAATAACTGCATGGAAACAGCCATGAAAACTGATCTTCCTCCTCCGTTTCATTATTATTGATGAGTGGTGCTCACTGGTAGCATTGTGTGCCAATTTGGTGTAGTGGTTAAGTGTGCGGCCTCTAATCTGGGAGAACTGGGTTTGATTCCCCACTCCTCCACTCGCAGCTGCTGGATGACCTTGGGCAAGCCATAGTTCTGTCAGAGCTGTTCTGGAAAGAGCAGTTTCTGTCTGAGCTCTCTCAGCCCCACCTACCTCACAGGGTATCTGTTTTGGGGCGGGGAAGGGAAAGGAGTTTGTAAGCTGCTCTGAGACTCCGAGTGAAGCATGGGATACAAATCCAGTATCTTCTTCTCTTCTCTCTTCTCCTCTTCTAATTGCTGTGAGCCACTTTGGGAGTTGTGTCAGAAAAAGAACAAGTGGGAGAAAAAAGGTAAATAAACACACATACACTAAATAAGAGGGGCTAGTTTGCATGGAAGGAAGACAGAGACCTGACGTTTCAGCAAGTTATGGTACATGTATTGCAGATGAAGGCACAGTGAGTCAGGCACTCATGTCCCTCGTCCTCTCCACACACGAGGCCTTTCTCCTGCAAGGTGGGGTGGTTTGGGGTCTCACCAAGGCAGGACAGCCCCCTCCCAGTTCACAAAAGTCCCATTGTCTTTCTCAGTGAGATGGCCAAAGTTGTTCAGGATGGCTCGCATGCTGGTGTCCAATGCCATTGGGGCTGGTCCCTTTGAAAAAAGAATAGGGAGTCACATAAGGTTGCCAGCCTCTATGTGGGAATACAGAGAAAATAAAGGGGGAACCTCAGCATATAGTATGCAAAAAGGAAGAAAACACTAAGGAAAAACCATCAACAATATGAATGTATTCTGTACTAAAATAAAAACAAATTTATTAAGCAATAGTCTGTTGCATATTATTTCTACATCACGCTAATGTGTTCATTATGTATTGAGGTTGGTGGTCACAACCTCAATACATAGCCTCAATACATACCCAACCTCAGTACATAGTTACTGCTTATAATGTTAGTATGCTCCCAAGCACTACTTCATAGCGGTGGCGCAGGCGGTTAAACGCCTGCTAGTAACATCCACAGCTGTTCGAAACCCGCCGCGGCCAGAGTGAACACCTGGCCCTTGTCCCAGCTCCCGCTAACCCAGCGGTTCGAAAGCGCCAACTAACATCAAAAATGCGCAAGTAGATAAATGGGTACCTACCTTAGAGGGTAGGGGGCACCCTCCCCCGCTGTGGGGGTTGTTGGAGCGTCGGAACCCGGTGGACGGCGAAGCGGCAAGCGGCGAGCAGATGGCGTCCAGGCACAACATCGGAAGCAGAACAGCCGTCAGCGGAGAGGCGGAGCCGGGACGACACGGGAGTGTGGATGGCACAGGCGGTGCGGAGCCGCGAGGACTGAGCCAAGGCCGTGCCGGAGCATGCCGCGTGACAGAAGGGCCCGACCGATCTGCCACTGAAAGACCGCCGGAAAGGAAAAAGGAGCCAGAGAGACGCCGAAGTCGACGTAGCCGGCCCGGGAGGAAAAAAAGATTGACTAACCCCTCCACTGGGTGCCGGTGGGGATTGTCCCCACCCCTAATAGCTGTGGCCATAGGTTAGGGATAAGTGAGTAACTGTAGCCGCTCAGAGACCCCTTAGGGGGTTCGAGCGGGGTAGTAAGTCGAAATAATAAATAAATAAATAAAATTCATAACAATAATAGCTCTTGAACATGGCACAATACATATGTATGGATATTACGCTATGCCCTCAGACGACATACAGAAAGTATCCATAGACCTCCTGTGACAAAAGGATGTCGCTGACATAAGGCAGAAATTTCCTATGCAGCCGTGTGCAGCAGGTGTACAGCCGTACGCATTTCCCAGGTATGCTCACGTTTCAATCTATCTTCCTCGCAGATAAAAGCAGCTGTGCATATAACTTGGAACTATAACAAATTGCTACATAAGTACATGTACAATCCATAAGTTCCCTACATAACATAAAATAATAAAGTCAAACTCACCCAAGTTTCACAGGATATATTCATAGAATTATTGCAGATGAACAGTTCTCAATTTGTGCAGAATCTGGAGATTCACATAACTAACTGGAGCCCCAGGCAGTATTTTGGACGGTAACAAATTGCTACATAAGTCCATAAACTCCATATACAGTATGGAGAATGTATTCATGAAATCATTACAGAACAACAGTTCTCAACTTGTGCTAAATCATGAGGTTCTCTAAACGAAAAAAAGGTAAAGGTAAAGGTTCCCTTGCTCGAAAGCCAGTCGAGTCGACTCTAGGGTTGCGGTGCGCATCTCTGTTTCAAAGCCGAAGAGCCAGCGCTGTCCGAAGACGTTTCCGTGGTCATGTGGCCGGCATGACTAAACACCAAGGCGCACGGAACGCTGTTACCTTCCCACCGAAGTGGTACCTATTTATCTACTTGCAATTTCTTGCTTTCGAACTGCTAGGTTGGCAGGAGCTGGAACTAGAGACGGGAGCTCACTCTGTCATGCGGCAACTCGGGTCTCGAACTGCTGAACTACTGACCTTCCACAGCCTGCAGTTCAGCATCTTAACCACTTGAGGCACCGCAGCTCCCTCTCTCTAAACTAACTGAGCACCATACAGTATTTAAGGAAAAAACGGAGTAATTAGCTGCAGGAGGTTTTTTAAAAAGCTGCAGGAGGGTTTTTTTTACTGAAACAAATTGCTACATAAATACATATACATTACATAAAATCCATATACAATATTGCATAATAAGAACTCACCCAGATTTCACTGAATATATTCACAAAGTTATTGCAGACCCGCAGTTCTCAACTTATGTTGAATCAAGAGGTTCTCAAAACTAACTGAGCACTATACATTAAGAAAGAAACTGATTAGCTGCAAGTGTAAGTATGAGGTTTAGAGTGAAATCAACATTAACAAGGTAATTGACATCCAACTGGTAGAGACCTAGATAAAAGCAGAAAAATACTAGTTGCTGAATTAGACCATATGGAGCATAAGTTTTAAGATTATAAATAAAACTAGTTTATTTTTGTAAAAGATGTGTATGGCCTTATCTGATGGCCTTCTGATGTATGGCCTTATCTGATGTTTATAAATAACAAGGAATTTCATACCATCTGCAGAATGACAAGCTTGAATGTAATGTTCCACCATAGGAGCTTGAATAATTTTATTTCTAATTCTCAAGCGATGCTCAAGGATAGCACATGTGGACATGCCAACATAACATAAACCACAGGGGCAAAAGGACAGATATACTGTATTCCTGGAGGAACATGTTGCAAAAAAGAAAATTTTTAATATTTTTAGAAGGTTTTTTACATGTGGCATACCTTTTGCATCTATGGTTTCCTGCAATATTGCCCCCGTGGTTTATATTATGTTAGCATGTCCACACATGTGTAGGAAGCTGGGGGGGGGGGACCTGATCTGGCTTCCATAGGTACACTGTGCTCAGAAGAGATAGTGTGAAAGGACTTCGGCTGACACCACAGAATAAAAGGACATCCTCCTGTCAAAATGCTGAGATCAACAAGGTAAGCTTCATATTCATGATTCCATTTTAACCCGGTATATCACAGCTGGGGCCAGCTTAGTGCAGCTGAAAAACACCTTGTTTGGTCAAAAATAAACCCTCTCTCAATCAAGATCTCAAGCCAAGTGTCTTCCTATGATGGAGGCAGCTGTTGTCCAAATGGTGAATGCGAAAGTGGTCCCTGCTGGCCTCTTCTGGGGCAGTCTTCTATTCCACTGAAGTGGACAAAATCCAGGAGTGACTCTTAAATTTGGGGAAGAAGCAAGGGGGCACTAGGAAATGCATACTGGGTGGGCACTGACATTGATTAAAACTTAACCAGCAAGAAAAATCTACATTTCTAACTTTTTTTTCTACCTTGGGGCAGTTTTCTAACTCAAGAACATATCTCCTTGTGGAAGGCAAGGGCCATCATGCTGTCATGAAGGGCTGTACCTCTCCAGGGCACCTTAAAAGGCTTTCCTGGAGCAGCGTTTTATGGGGTGTTTTTTATACCCCATTACTTTACATAGGCTGTGGTCAGACTGGAAGGTTGGCGTGCTATGGTCATGCTGCTAATCTCTCTGTTTCATTTGGGAATGGAGAATCTTGGTCAGTCACTGCACCCTGAGGCGTCTTTAGAAGAAGAAGAAGAAGAAGAGATTGGATTTATACCCCGCCCTTCACTTGGAGTCTCAGAGCGGCTTACAAACTCCTTTCCCTCCCCCTCCCCACAACAGACACCCTGTGAGGTGGGTGGGGCTGAGAGAGCTCTGACACAAACTGCTCTTTTCCAAGAACAGCTGTGCCAGAGCTTGTGACTGACCCAAGGTCACATCAGCAGGTGCAAGTGGAGGAGTGGGGAATCAAATCCTGTTCTCCCAGATTAGAGTCCGTGCACTTAACCACTACACCAAACTGGCTCTCTTTACAGCGCGCAGGGCCCATGGTCAATCGTTCATAGTCATACGAGTCATCCAGCAGCACAGTTTGGGTTGGTTTTTTTTTTAAGTTTTCCTGGTGCATGTCATGAGTAGGAAAGAAAAACCCACCTAGAACGGATTGGACAGTTCAGATTTCCCATCCATTTTCTGTGTGCTTCCCTGTGTTCAGACATCCAGAAACGCAGAAACACATTTGTGTGGACATCTGTTCTCCAGTGGCTGTTTACTCCGCATCCAATGAGTCATATTGGGCCAAACTGCCCGAATGACTGCAGCCATGGACAGGGGTTAAAAAACTACCCCAGTTAAGCAAAATACATTCATTTTCTGGGGTGGATTTTCCTACTCCAGGTGGTTTTTCTTTCTTTCTTTTTTACTGAAAGAAAACTGCAAGTGGCTATACTTTGAGGATGCAGTTTTACTACTATACATGTGAAAATGTCCTCCTAAGGGGGAAAGGTTCTAGAGCCACTTTTCTCTGCAGTCTGCCAAAACTAGTACAAGTGGGGTATGAAGGAACCCCACAGGGTTGTTAGACAGGTAAGCCCTTATGTTCTATCCGTAAGCTATAAAGTGTTTTCAGTTGTCATTAAAAAGAGGCTGTGGTTCAGTGGTAGAGCATCTACTGTGCATTGCAGACTCTGAAATCTCCAGTTTAAAAAGGCACAATAAGTGATCTGAAAGACTACAACGGGAGATCCTGAAAAGCCACTGCCAGTCTAAGTAGACTCTCCTGACCTTGATGAACCAATGGACTGATTTAGGATAAAGGCAGTATGGCGATGTGATCTGTTCGAGCTTACAGTGACCCCTGGTGATCAACTTGAATTATTTCACATGTTCTGCAACCTGGTTTTGTATTTCATTCACTACTTTGTTCATTAATCTTAATTCATTAGTCACTGTGTAACAGAGGGTTGGACTGGACGGGGCATCGGCCTGATCCAACATTGGCTTCTCTTATGTTCTTATGTTAGTCTTCTGTGGTTTAAATGTATGGATTATGAGACTGATGAATGCCTCCTTTTCCCTCTCCTCCTCTTCTTTTGAAATATATCTGTATAGAGGTTAAGTAGTAGAAAATCTAAAAAGTAATGTTTAAAAATAATACAGAAAGTAAGAGAGAGATTGAGAAAGTGGGAATAAAAAGGTAAAGGTTTCCCTTGCTCGAAAGCCAGTCGAGTCCGACTCTAGGGTTGCGGTGCTCATCTCCGTTTCCAAGCCGAAGAGCCAGCGCTGTCCGAAGACATTTCCGTGGGCATGTGGCCGGCATGACTCAACACCAAGGCGCACGGAACGCTGTGACCTTCCCACCGAAGTGGTACCTATTTATCTACTTGCAATTTCTTGCTTTCGAACTGCTAGGTTGGCAGAAGCTGGAACTAGAGACAGGAGCTCACTCCGTCATGCGGCACACTCGGGCTAGCACATACAGAAGCTACTGCTGTGTGTAGCCAATACTGCACTCTGCTAAATAAGACAGAGATTACTGGCTTACTATACCAGTGAATCTTACAACTGTAATATTGATACATTGAATGCTTCTCATCTTTGCACTGCAGGCTCATCTCTAACTTGCTGCAGCAGTGATTAATGACATGCCCAAGATCCCCAATGAAGGCAACTTCTCTAGACATGTTGACAGTGGCGGCTCTGCTACAACTCACCCTTTCTCGGGCTATCCTGGGGTACCTTCATCAGCAAGGACAGGAATGACTGGAGAAAGGGAGGGAAGAATCGATGATTTGTGTACAAACGGTGCAATCTTAAATTGAGTTACACCTTTCTCAATCCATTGACATCCATGGGCTTAGAAGGGTGTAACTATGTTTAAGATCACACTGTAACCATAGTAACTTCCGCAGGAGATTCTCCACACTGGAGGAAGGGGGCAGGAGAGGGTGTTAAGTAAGGGTTAAACTTGGTTTGTGACAGAAGGTTGCAGCTGGTCTGTGTTCCAAAAGCTGTTAGCAAGTTTGGCCCAACTTGAACTACTAGGTCACTTTCTAAATTGAGACAAGCCCTTGACTTGCATGGATTTAGGAGGCTGTACCTCTGCTTAAGATCGTACTTAGGGCGATTCTGCATCTAGCATTAGCTCCACATTTTCTCAACTGGGAGGGGAAAATGCAGCTCAAAACCACATTCAAATACCTTGGGGCACCACTGTACTGACTGCAAAGTCACCCCCGAATGGCCATAGAACGACGCAGAAGCTACCATAAAATCCGATGATCAAAGAAAGCGAAAGCGGCATGGAGTGCGGAGGTTACCATAAAAGCTGATGATCAAAGAAAGCGAAAGCGGCATGGAGTGTGGAGGTTACCATAAAATCCGATGATCAAAGAAAGCGAAAGTGGCATGGAGTGTGGAGGCTACCGTGAAATCCGATGATCCAAGGAAGTGAAAGCATCATGCAATGCAGAAGGGAATTTCTGTTCCAGCGTGGGTTTTGTAAAACGACGGAAGGAAAAGCCAATGCAGAATGAGCCTTAAGTCTCTGAATTAGGAATGGATGTGCTTTGACTGTAGTGCAAATGCTTGTGCATGAAGCAAAAGGAATTGTGCCCGGGGTTCGAACCTGGGACCTTCTGTATGCGTGGCAGCCTTTAATCTGCTTTCTCTTCTCTCAGAAGCCAAGCAGGGTCAGCCCTGGGTAGTACTTGGATGGGGGAAAGACATGCACACGAAATAAAAGGGGCTCGTTTGCACCTCACCTCAGTGTGAAGGAAAAGACAGACTTGACTTTTCAGCAAGTTACGGTAAATTTATTGCAGACGAAGGCAAAGAAAAACACACATGCGCATCCCACATCTTCCTCACACGTGAGATGTTTCTTCTTCAAGTTGGGGGGGGTGGGGGGTCTCACCAAGGCACGGCTGCCCCCTCCCAGTTCACAAACGTGCCGTTGTCTTTCTCAGTGAGACGGCCGAGGGTGTTCAGGGCGGCTCCCACGCTTGCATCCACCGTCAGCGGGGCTGGTCCCTTTGGAAAGAGAATCGGCAGGTCACATGAGGACTTGGCACCGAATGACTGGAGTTACAACATCTCCACATGGCAAAGATCAGTGCCTCTGGAGGAAATGGCAGCTACTTCTACGGCGCTACATCCCCGCCGAGCTCCCTCATCTCCCCCAGTCACCACCCACAAATCTCTAGGAATTTCCCAAGGCTGGAGTTGGCAACCTGAAGAGATCTAGGCACACCTGCCCGTTGAAGTCAGATGATCTCAGAATAATATTCTGCTCTCAGAATCAGGGCTATTTTGGGGCAGGAACGCACAGGAACGGCATTCCGGCTGGCTCCCAAGTTGGCCACACCCAGCAGGAACTCATTAGCATAATAGGCCACACCCAACAGCAGAAACTCATTGGAATTGGCTACATTAGGGGTGCGTGGCCTAACATGCAAAGGAGTTCCTGCTACAAAAAACGGCCCTGGGTTTTGGCAACAAACAAGGTAAACTGAATAAGAAGCAAAAGGTGGGTGTGGCTGGATGACCACACTTCTGGTAACATGGGATGTGTGGCCTAATATGCTAATGAGCTGTGCAGTCAGGGGTGTTGCCTAATATGCTAATGAGTTTCTGCTTCTGGGTGTGGCCTATTATGCTAATGAGTTCCTGCTGGACTTTTTCTACAAAAAAAGCCCTGCTCAGAATAATAATTCCCATGATGCACTGGGGAGGTGGTGGATGAAAGAAAGATGGAGGGATGACCCCGGAAGAATTTTCTCTCCCCTTGGCCACCTGATCGGTTCTCCTTTCCTCCACGTGAGTTTGGTGGGAGCCTACTGGGATTAGTGTGGAAATGGCTCCCACGGCCTCTAGCACTGGCCTCCAGTTCTGGCCCTGCAGGCAGGCCTGCTCCTGTGTTCAACTCGGCACAATTACATGACAATAACATGATATTATGTCTGGGTCGTCCTTGCCTATGAGAAGCACAATCAGCGAATCAGTTTGGACGGCCTGTGTCTAGGAATGTATTTAGACCGTGAAGCACCCACCGCTGCGTTTCCCATGTCTGTCTGCACCCATCCAGGATGCAATGCGATGCACAGGATCTCGTCTTCTGCAAATCCCAGGGACTGGCACCGGGTGAGCATGTTCAGAGCAGCCTAGGAAGGGAGACATTTCGTTTCTTCACAACATGTATAAGCTTTTTCTCTTCCTTTTAGAGCTTAAGGCGGCTTAAAAGGTAACGGTAAAGGTTCCCTTGCTCGAAAGCCAGTCGAATCCGACTCTAGGGTTGCGGTGCTCATCTCCGTTTCAAAGCCGAAGAGCCAGCGCTGTCCGAAGACGTTTCCATGGTCATGTGGCCGGCATGACTAAACACCAAGGAGCACGGAACGCTGTTACCTTCCCACTGAAGTGGTACCTATTTATCTACTTGCAATTTCTTGCTTTCGAACTGCTAGGTTGGCAGGAGCTGGAACTAGAGACGGGAGCTCACTCCATCATGCGGCACACTCGGGTCTCGACCTGCTGACCCTTCCACAGCCTGCAGTTCAGCGTCTTAACCACTTGAGCCACTGCAGCTCCTAAGGCAGCTTACAGCATAGATAAAATACAGTTGAAAAACCTAAAAATCAAAATTTAAAATCAAAATTCAGGACTGCTTGAAAACTTAACCAAACAGAGTCCTAGATAAGAATGTCTTCAGCCACCTCCTAAAGAACAAACGTTCACCCGCCACCAAACACACCAAACACCCCCTGGGTCCCCTGGGAAGGTTTCTGCATAATTCTGGGGCTGCCAGTGAAGAGGCCCACCTTCTTGACCCACCAAAGAGCTCTGACTGGTGGGACAGCCAGGAGGGCCTCCTCCTGTGATATGCCAGAAGTAAGGAGACGAATGATGCATTCAGTTCTTAATTTTAATGACAAGAATTGAGCCAAGGCTTCCACCTTCACATATTATGTACATCCCTACCTTGCTGCAACGGTAATTAATGACATGTCCATGTTCCCACGCAAGGAGGCTGGTGATGGAGCCAGCTTCACTGGACACGTTGACAATGGCGGCTTTGCTGCAGCTCATCCCTTTCTGGGGGCTTTCCTGAGACGCCTTCCTCAGCAAGGGCAGGAAAGCCTGGAGGTGGAGAGGGAAGAATCAAGGACAGCAATGCAACAGAGGCCCGGCTATCCCTTCACCAGTGTGGAAGCCCCAACAGTCACTCACCTTCTAGATGGCCATGTGCTCTCATGGCCTTATTATCAAAATGGTAGTTATTTTTGATCTTGACTCACTGAGTACAATCCCCCCCCCCTTCATCTCCTTCCCAGTCCAGCCAGAGATGGTGCACCGGTTGAATTTATGTTAACATCGCAACAGAACCTCCGCCTGTGAAAACAGGCAGCCACCCAACAACCAAGAGCCACTTGGGTGCATCCGAGGATCTTCCAAGTAGTCTTCCTCCCGCCAAAGGAGTCTGCCTCCCACTTAGGTGGCTCTTCCTCCAGGAGAAGATCCATTTCATTTGGAGGACAGCTAGGTTCGAGTCTAACTAGATTTGGGGGCTCCAAGCTTTGGAGAGACAAAAGTCTCTTCAGATATCTGATGAAGGGAGCTTTGGCTCTCGAAAGTTTGTACCCCGAAAATCCTGTTGGTTTCTGAGGTGCTCCTCGACTCGAATCTGGCTGTCCTACTGCAGGATAACATGGCTACCCTCTGACACTGTCTCCATTTGGAGGAAGACTCCTTAGACTGGAGGAAGGCTTCAAACGTGAACCAAAAGGAAAGGCGGGGTATAAATATTTTAATAAAGGTTATTTATTTATTTTATTGGATTTTTTTCCAACCACCCTCCCCTGGTAGGTGGGCTCAAGCAGTGTACCACCTGGTCATAAAACATTGATGAAAAACAAGTTAAAACCAGTAATGGGGGAATGTCGCTAGAGATGGGGCGAGAAAGGCTAGTGACACCGCTATCTTATGGGTGCCAGGATCCACAGCAAAACAACGAAGTACACGCTTCCAGGAAGGTTTTACTTTTATTGAAAAGCCATAGATGCAGTAACATGAACACTGTAAGGAATGGCGGGTTACCTATGCGCATAATAGGATATAGGGCATTCGTATGCACCCCACCCCCCACGTAGTACCCAATTAGATGGGTTCCCGCGTGTGGGCATTTGGCCGAGAACTAACGGCTGCAGAAGCAGGGTAGGTGAGAAGCTTCCCACGAATTCTAGCCACGTCAACTCCTCCAGTGGCCTTGAGAGATATGCGTTACAGCGAAGAGGCAATTAAGCGCATGGGAAGGAACGCACAGCAATTAGAAACATACACCATACTCTTGGCAGCATAGCTGACAACAGGAGGAGGTGGAAGTGCCAGGATGAGACCATCACTGTCCTCAACCAAATGCCTGGTGTAACACCTCTGCCTTACAGGCCCTGCAGAACTGTAACAAGTCCCGCAAGCCATGGATGTTATTTGGCAGAGAGTCCTACCGGGTTGGAGCCAGATAAGAAAAGGCCCTGGCTCTGGCTGAGGACAGCCGGTTGGCTCTCGGGCCGGGGACCACCAATAGATTTTGATCTGCAGAGTGCTACGCTCTTCTGGGGGGTATACCATGAGAGGCAGTCCTGAAAGTACGTAGGTCCCTGACCATTTAGGGGCCTTGAAGGCCAATATCAGAACCATGAACCTTATCTGGTACTCCACCGGAACCCAGTGCAGCTCGCACAGCACAGGTTGAATATGTACTGTGTGCAGTGTCCCTGTAAAGACCTGCACTGCTGCATTCTGTACCAGTTGGAGTTTCCGGGTCAGCCTCAAGGGTAGGCCTATGTAGAGCGAGTAATAGTAATCCAGCATAGAGGTGACTGTTACGTGGATTACAGTGGCTAGGTCAGGACGAGACAGGTACGGGGCTAGTTGCCTGACCTGGTGCAGTTGAAAAAACACTTTGGTCAGTGGAGGGGCAGGATAGGGGCAGGATCCACACTGCTATCCTTCAGCCACATGCAGTGCAATACTAAACAGAGTTATGTCTTTCTCTGCTCATTGATTTCAGTGGACTCAGAACACTGAAACTGTGTTTACAACTGAACTGCTTTACAGAACGATAAGGAGAAGCATCCCCAGGCTGTCCCTACCTGGGTCACCACCATGGACCCTATCAAGTTCGTTTTGTACACTTCAGCCATGTCTTCTGCTGTCTCCAATTCCAGAGTGTTTGGCCTTACAATCGCAGCATTGTTGATCAGGAGATTCAGCCCGGCTCCTTGCAGCTTTTCAGTAACTTTGGCAGCAGCGGTCTTGATACTGGATGGATCACTAGTATCTACAGCAACAAAGTTATGCAGGTAACTAAAGGTGAGCCATCGCCAGGTAGGAAGCAGTTCAGCAGACCTCCACTGCGACTGCCTTTAGAGCACGTGCTCTTTGTTGTCTTGCAAGGCAGAGGACTCAGGGTCCTTTCAACACAGCGCATTGATTTTTCCATGCATGTGCAACATTCCATGTATACAAATAAGAAATATGTAACACATGTGTGTACAATCAGCCCATAACTGTCAATGCAAACTCATTGATGGCTATCAGGGCCGGGGATGCTGGTTTGCCAGCCTCTTCTAAATTGAAAATGAAGCACAGGAGGTTGGACAGCTGCTTGCCTAGGCTATGAGGCAGGCCAAAGAGCATGCCACGGAAGGGGCATCTTGCTTGGGGGTGGGGATAGAGCATGGGGAGGAGGAACTTCACTGATGAAGACAGAGGTCCTGTGCCTCAGTCAGGGGGGGGTTAGGATGGGGATCGGGCTGCCCACCCTGGATGGAGCACCACTTGTACCGGCCCTGAGGGTGATCCTGAATGCCTCACTTTCTACGGAGACCCAGGTCACCGCAGTTGCCAGGTCTGCCTTTTTCTACCTCTGGCAGAATTGGCCCCTCTCTCCCCCCCCAGGACTTTGCTACGGTGACCCATGATATGGTCACTTCCAGGCTTGGTAACTGTAACTCACTTTATGTGGTCTCACCCCGAGACTGATCCGGAAACTCCAAGTAGTCCAGAATGTAGTGGCACGCCTGATGACAGCATCGTCTCTGTGCGCATGCGGTCGTCCGGTATTGTGCCGCTTGCCCTGGCTACCAATGGAGTACTGGATGTTGAGTACTGGATGTTCAAGGTGTTGGCACTAACCTTCAGAGCCTTACATGGCCTGGGACTGACATATCTGAAGGACTGCCTCTTCCCATATGGGTCCCAAAGAGCCTTGCGCTCACAGGATCAACATGTACTGGTTACCCCCGGGCCAAAGGACATCCGCTTAGCTTCGGCCAGGGCTTTTTCTGTCCTGGCTCCGGACTGGTGGAATCAGCTCCCACTGGAGATCAGGGCCCTGTGGGGCCTTCTACTGTTCCGCAGGGCCTGCAAAATGGAGCTGTTCCGCTAGGCCTTTGGGTGAGGAGCAGGCGTCCGTCCACCTCCGTTGGCCTCCCCAATCTAGTTCCCAGTCTGCTGAAAGGGCCCATTTGATTCTATCTTGAAGCCCCAACAGATTTATAGGAAATTGCCGCTACCAGTGCAATTTTATTGTCTGTTGTTTTAATGATTTTAATGTGACTTTAATTGAACTCGGTGTTTTGCGATCTGCCCTGGGCCCGCTTGAGGAGGGCAGAATAAAAATCCCCAAAATAAATAAATAAATAAAATTACCTTGTCTAAAAATTCTTTGCCTTATCAATATAAACTCGCCCAGGTCGTATAATTTTTCTCCCCCGGTTGCTCAATGGCTATCGTGATGCTTCTTATCAGAACGCTAGGCTCATAGCTTACTCATTGCTAGAACTCTCTAGAATCTCCGTTGTAAAGGCGTTTTTCTGTGCTCATATCTATGTTGCTGAAGAATCTTAAGCCAACGCTAACAGGTGTAACGCTTCTAGCGACTATAGTAGTTCTTAAAGAAATAGCACCCTCCCTGCATGTTAAATACATTTTCAGAAAGGGACTAAAAAAAGGGGTCTCAAAATGCCTTAGTTGCTCATAAGGTGACACTTCCATAGACAATGGTAGTTCTTAAAGAAATAGCACCCTGCCTGTATCTTTAAGATGTTCTCAGAAAGGGACTTAGAAGTTCAACTATGTTAGATTTATACAATATTTATACACACAAATTGTGTAGAGATTATGGGAAGTAGAGGATTTTGTGTTATTTGAGTTTGTACATGGTGTGGTTTGTTTTCTATTCTTGCTCTATCCGTAGCATCTTTCCCCCTGCCTGTTTTCTCCCTCTTTCAAGTGTAAGGAAAGGGGAGGGGATAGCTGGCAGGGGTGGGAGCCTAAGAGCCTTGGGCTGATAAGCCGAAACTCAGCCCATTAATATTAATCAACTCTTTAAACCCTTTCTGTGTCTTTATTTGAGGATCAGTGCAGGACAATTATTGTACATGCTACGGCTTATGTACGTGCAATTTCCCCTGTTATGTACTGTGTCTGATTAAAGAAGGAACCCTATTGGAAAATATGTAAAATGTTGGTATTCTACAGATTAGGCCTAAGCAAGTAGCAGCATAAGCTGACTCCATGCTATTGCTTGGAGATCTTTTTTAAAACAACAACAACAACAACAAGCCAGTGTAGCCCTAAAGAGATTTGCACTCTTCTAACCCACTGACTTCAGTGGACTTAGAAGAGTGTGTGACTCTGGGCCTCAGTAGACGGGTGTAACTCTGCTTAGGACGACACTCCCCAGTACATGCTTTGCTTCATCTGGCATACTTACCAGTTTTCAGACTTACTATTTTTTCGTTTGTCTCACAGACATACAGAGTAATCTCTCATCAACTCCATTTGACTCAGTTCTCAGACAGAGTATTTGCAGAACTGCTTCAAACTGAGGTGATGAGAGATGACATTCTAATACTACTCTGTAAAGTGAAAACTTATGAATCTGCAGGGACAGATGGCACACACCCAAGGGTTCTTAAAGAACTGAAATCCTAAATTGTGGATCTACTAACTTGTTGCTAAGATCTGGCTATGTTCAAGATGACTGAGAGATAACAAAGGTCACCCCATACTTTGGAAAGTGGAACCAGGAAATTACAGGCCCATCAAGCTACTATCTGCTCTGGGTAAATTCGTAGAATCTGTTATTAAAGGGAGAACTTGTACGCACAGCGTAGAGCAAGTCTGCTGAGGAAGAATAAGTGTGGCATCTGCAAAGGGAAGCCGTGCCATGCCAACCCCTTGGGGTTATTTCAGCAAGTTAAAAAGCATGTGGATGAGGGTAATCCAGTAAACATATACCTGGACAAACTATTAAAATCAGCAACTGGATTACAAAGTCTGAGAACAGCATTAGAATCTAACAGCAAAGATTTCTAGAAAAAGAAAGAAAGGATGCAGCATAGCTGGGATTGAAGAACTAGTACAGAAAAACAACTGGGGCAGAACAAACACTGATTGAGTGCTAGAAATGGGGAATGTGTGTGCATTTAAACTACGGCACGGCAATCTTGTGGAATGGCCCTGAATCTGTAGGAAGAGGGCATTTGAGTGGCCCGTCACTTACCCATTGGGAGGATTTTGACACTCCGATATTTGGCAGCCAGGTTCTTCAAGTCCTGAAAGAGACCAAAGGCAGAGACTTGAGATGCAAGACTGTTGTGTTTGAGAGGGCAGCAGGTTTAGGGGTAGGTTGTTCATTAAGGAGTAGATCTTTTGTATTGAAAGGGTCTTGCAGAAGCAAAAGTGTCCTAAGCCTCACCAAAGAAGTCAGTCAATGTTTATTACAATCCAAGATCAGAAGCCAGGATCAAAATCATCCACAGGCATATACATTGAATACATGTCATATAAATACAAAGGTATACTAAACATTTTAATTAAAGTTTATTTTTAAAAGAGCTGTGTTCTCCTGCCTAATTAAACATGCCAGGACACAGAATCTAGATACTTTAAAAGTAATTTCATTACAACGGCCTCCAAGAAGGAGTGAAATACAAAATTGATTAGATCTACCAGGTGAAAATCAGATTACATCACCAAAGAGCCTGAAGCTCCAACACACTGGGCAGAATATCCAGAGGAATCCCCTAGTTGCACACCTGTCCCAAGGTACACCCAATGCCGCCATGGCTCTCACCTGGGCACGTGGTCCCTCTGGGTCCCGGCAGGTGGCAAAGACCCATTCTGGCCCATTGTTTTTCCCCACCAGCTGCCGGACCAGCTCCAAGCCAATGCCTCGGTTGGACCCCGTCACCAGGGCGCTGCGCACATTTAGCATTTTGGTGTTGTGTCGTCTGCCGTTGCTTGACTAGCAGAGCCAAAGATCAGTGGGCGAACTACAGTCCGCACCCAGGTTTGCATAAGTCACATGGCTGCTGTGTCAACACATGTCATTTCAATGGCTTTGTTCCAGGGAATCGCCTCCGGTGTCCTATATCTCCACACAGCTGCTGAAGCCGTTTAAAAAAAGGAAGAGGAAGGATGGGGGGTGGTGGTCAGCTGCTTGATGCAACAACAGCCTATGCTGTGCTTGTAATACGCACCCTTCTCGGCTCTCATTCTTCTGGTCTGCATCAATATGTCATGGGGAAATTGCATGGTCCAGCTGGTCGTAACTGGGTTTCCCTGCAACGCAAGACCAGTTACAAACAACTTGTGGCAGTATCAATATACCCAATTCTCAAAGTGGCCCTATCTATGGATACTTCTATTTGGAGACTGGGGCAATGAACAGATAAGACAGGCCTTTCTACAAAGAGAAGCCCTAGGCAAGCAATCTTCTGTTCCACTGGAAAAAATCCAGGAGTGGCTCTTAAATTTGGGGACACTAGGAAATGCGTACTCAGGGGCACTGACATACATTAAAACTTAAGAAAGCCAAGAGGTGGTTAAAGGAGCATCGTTCCTTCTCTCGTCCTCCACTCAAAAAGGGGGGGGGGGGGGGAGAAACTGAGCAAACTTTACAGTCTGCAGAAATGAAATCATTAAGGTCTCTTCCCCACTGGGAAAAGGAAATGATTAGAAATTCACTCAGGTATTCTGGGGCTGCACAAATGAACAGGGAGATTAAGCCCCTTTTGTGAAGCAAAAGAGATTCTGCTTTGGGGCGTGTAATTAGGGATGCTTAATTAGAATCCACTTGGGAGCACCGAGGCTCTAGTAGGGAGAAGTGGAAACTCGGAGAAACAAGTGAGGACTGAAAGGAACAGTAGAGCTGGGAAGTGCTTTAACTGTCTGCTTATGGATGGTTGGCTCCCGAAGCACATTTTAATTCGGGGGGAATAGCCCAAGTCAGGTCTGACAAAGAATGGGTGCTTATAATGCCTCCTGGATCCTCCATGAAAAGGAGTGTGAATATATCAAGGTCATACCGGATGAAATGGTTGTTTGGAATCATCCATGAGAATCGATCTTCCATCTGTTTCATTTTTACAGTGTACAGCAATGACATTTTGCATGGGATCTGAACAGTTGTTATCTGTTTTGGGCTGCAATTTTTGACTGGAAAGAAGGATAAGAAACGGAGCAAGGGAATACGTATGCACTAAGCAAAATTTGGCTAGTTGATTCCCAACCCGGCTAGGTAGAGGTGGAAGAGGAAAGGATATGGAAGATGTCAGCGAGTCTTTCTTGCCGACTTTATTGAGGATGAAGGCACAGTCAGGCGTTCGCATCTCTCCCAGTGCCCGACATGTTCCTCTTGTACAACCTCCAAGGGGGCTGTTGGGTCTCTCACCAAGGAAGGGTTGTCCCCGCCCGGTTCACAAGAGTGCCACTGTCTTTATCAGAGAGAGAGCCAAGATCATTTCCACGGTAGTGAAATTCCCTGCATTGACCTTTTTAAATCTGCACGTTATGTGAAATTTCCCACAGTAGATTTTTCCTTACCGGGCAAACCCCCAAAGATTTTCCTTCCTTCCTCACGTTTTTGGAATCCCCAGTTTTAGTGAGTTCCGAAAACACAAGGAAAGAAGGAGAAAACGTTGGGTTTGCGCCTAGTGACGGAAAATCTACTGTGGAAAATTTCACATAACACGCAAATTTAAAAACATCAATGCAGGGAATTTCACTACTGCAGAAATGGTCCAAGAGTGTTCAGGATATTAAACACAACTAGCCTTAACTACGGTTTTGGGTGACACAGAGATCCTGACTGTTTCCCCACCATAGCCTTCTTTCACTCCCTGGCTACCATAATGCCCGACCAGCATGATGCCAGCATGTATCAAGACAAACCTGGACTTCAGCGACTGCCTGCTAGCCAAATCTCGATTTCGCATTAAAAAACCAACATTGAAAAAAACCTGCTCCATTTTATGTGGTCCCGCTTTTAAGGAAGGCCCAGAAGCCTTCTTGCACACCCTAACAATATTAAAGATCTGAAACTGGAACATCAAGGGGATGTTTCCTCCAAATCTGTGGCTTACTCTGATATGGGCCCAAAGTACAGAAATAAATTTGGATTGCCTGAGTAGAGGAAGAGAATGGTTGCACCAGGAATGACCTGAAGTTACCATGTCTATTTTTACAATTCTGGAGTGCAAAGCAATGCCCAGGATCTCATATTTTGCCCATCTCAGAAACTGGCACTGTGAGAGCGTGTTCTGAGTCCCCTGAGGCACCTTCCTCAGCAATGGCAGGAATGACTGGAGAAAGGGAGGGAAGAATCGATGATTTGTGTACTAACAGTGCAATCTTAAACTGAGTTAAAGGTAAAGGTTCCCTTGCTCGAAAGCCAGTCGAATCTGACTCTAGGGTTGCGGTGCTCATCTCCGTTTCAAAGCCGAAGAGCCAGCGCTGTCCGAAGACGTTTCCGTGGTCATGTGGCCGGCATGACTAAACACCAAGGCGCACGGAACGCTGTTACCTTCCCACCGAGGTGGTAGCTATTTATCTACTTGCAATTTCTTGCTTTCGAACTGCTAGGTTGGCAGGAGCTAGAACTAGAGACGGGAGCTCACTCTGTTATGCGGCACTTGAGTCTCGAACTGCTGAACTACTGACCTTCCACAGCCTGCAGTTCAGTGTCTTAACCACTTGAGCCACCGCAGCTCCTAAACTGAGTTACAACTTTCTAAATCTATTGACATTCATGGGCTTAGAAGGGTGTGACTCTGTTTAAGATTGCACTGTTAACTGTAGTAGCTCATGGGTTAATCTTCTGTTCCGCAGGAGATATTCCAGGAGGCAGGGAGGCAGGAAATGGTGTTAAGTAAGGATTAAACTTGGTTTGTAACAGAAGGTTGCCACTGGTCTGTGTTCCAAAAGCTATTAGCAAGTTTGACCCAACTTGAACTACTAGGTCACTTTTTAAATTGAAACAAGCCCTTGACTTCCATGGATTTAGGAGGCTGTACCTGTGTTTAAATAGGAGCTGTGGTGGCTCAAGTGGTTAAGACACTGAACTGCAGGCTGTGAAAGGTCAGTAGTTCAGCAGTTCGAGACCCAGGTGTGCCGCATGACGGAGTGAGCTCCCGTCTCTAGTTCCAGCTCCTGCCAACCTAGCAGTTCGAAAGCAAGAAATTGCAAGTAGATAAATAGGTACCACTTCGGTGGGAAGGTAACAGCGTTCTGTGCGCCTTGGTGTTTAGTCATGCCGGCCACATGACCACGGAAACGTCTTCGGACAGCGCTGGCTCTTCGGCTTGGAAACGGAGATGAGCACCGCAACCCTAGAGTCAGACTCGACTGGCTTTCGAGCAAGGGAACCTTTACCTTTTTACCTGTGTTTAAGATTGTACTTAGTTTCTGAATGAGGAATGGATGTGCCATGACTGTAGTGCAAATGCTTGTGCAGGAAGGGAAAGGAATCATGCAGGGGTTTGAACATGAGACCTTCTGCATGCCTGGCTCTGCCAAGGCGCCCCGATCCTTCCCCAGGGGGGAGAGGACTGCAAAGCAGCCAGACTGGCTTATGCAGCTCTGTGCTGAATCAGGAGTTGGGAACTACTAATCGGCTTCATTCTCATATCTCAAACAACTTAAGATGAGCTGGGCTGGATCAGACCAGTGAGCCACCTAGGCCAACATCCTGTCTCACACAGTGGTTAACCAGTTACTATGGGGGACCACCAACACGGCAGAGAGGCCAAGACTTTCCCATGAGTCTGCCTTCTGGCACTGCTACAAAGACTAATGTACACAGCAAAATAAAAGGGGCTGAATTATCTCCCACAAACTAAAAACTGAAAGTTTGCTCAATTGCTGTAATAATAATAAATATATTAAGAACAACAGTGTGCCTGTTTTGTTTATGAAGGAATTAAAGAGAATAGTGTTACTTACAAAATTAAACATGGAGCTTAAATGGATACAGTTTACAGAATCCTCCATGAACAAACTGCATACAAAATGTCCAGTCAACCTGGCTGACGTAGAGTGTCCATAAATTGCATGAAATAACCACCAAGTCCACATAAATACATCCACAAGAGAGTGGAACGGTAAAGTAGAAGAGATAAATCCTTCGCATTATCTGATACGAGCAACCGGATTTCTGCGCATTTCGACAACACTTCTTTGACAGAATTTAAAGAGTAAATCCTGAGATTTAAAATGGGATTCTGTAAATTGTTTTTGGTTTGTGGGAGATAATTCAGCCCGTTTCTGGCAGTGTACATTAGTCTTTGTTCGGGTTTTTTCCCACCCTGCCATCCCATTTGTTGGTTTGTCTTATTCTGGCACTGGGTGACTGCCTCTGAACACAGAGAGAGTCTTTTTAGTCACAACTAGTTGCCCCTTCTTATGCCTTCCTTCCAGTCAGCGTGCTGGACTCTAAACCGAACAGAGTCTGTTCTGTACAATTAGGAGGCGAGAGGTAAACTTTGACCGAAGCGGTACACTAGGGAGTGTTTCCCCTCTAATCGATTTGACGTTGAGCTATTAAAAATTCACTTCAGAAGTGGGTAAAAAGCCAGAGAACCAGTTTCTTCAGCACGGAAGCAGCCTTTAATCTACTTTCTCTCCTCTCGGAAGCTAAGCAGGGTCAGCCCTGGTTAGTATTTGGATGGGGGAAAGACATGCACACGAAATAAAAGTTTGCACCTCAGCCTCAGTGTGAAAGGAAAAGACAGATTTGACATTCCAGCAAGTGATGGTAAATTTATTGCAGACGAAGGCAAAGGATTTCATACATCTGCTTTCTGCATCTTCCTCGCATGTGAGATGTTTCTCCTGCAAGTTGGGGGGTGGGGGTGTCACCAAGGCATAGCTTCCCCCTCCCAGTTCACAAAAGTGCCGTTGTCTTTCTCAGTGAGACGGCCGAGGGTGTTCAGGATGGCTCGCACACTTGCGTCCACTTCCAGGGGGGCTGGTACCTTAGGAAAGAGAATCAGTGGATCACACAAGGACTTGGCACTGAATGACTGGCCAAGCCTGTAAATTGCACGATCTGTGTACCATGTCCAGATACCCAATGCAAACAGGAAAGCAATCTCAAATGCTGACCCCTGTTTTAACTCCATTCCACTGCGGGTTTACCTCACCATATTTGGAAGTAGCATATGATCTGTGTAACTGGGGACAGATAGTTCTTCCAGCGAAGTAACTTGTGGAACTTACTGCTACAAGGTATGCTGATGCCCGCTGGCTTAGATAGGTTTTTCAAAGAGGTTAGACAAATCCATGACACTTAGACCTATGAATGGTTGTTACCCACAATAGCCATGGATGGAACCTTCTTGTCCTGGCTGGATCTGGGGGTGAAACCCTGGGAGCTCACACCACCCCTCCCTGTCCAGACGGTAGCAAGAGATGGCCCTGCTGCCCAAACTGAACTTGCTTCAATCTTAATTCTTTCACTTCCTTTCCCTCAATGCATCATGGGAACTGTAGTGCTCAGAACACTTGTCAGGTGTTCTGGGAATAGAAAACCCAGAAAGAGTGGGTGATGGGGAAAAGATGGTGTGTGGTACATTCTGAGTATGTACTTAAGGGTTACCGGCCTCAAGGCAGGGCCTGCAGTTCTCCTGGAGTTACAACTCTCCTGGAGTTATAATTTACAAGATCTCCATATGGCAAAGATCCATGCCTCTGGAGGAAATGACAGCTGCTTCTATGGTTGTCTAGCTATGTTACTGAGAACGCCATCTTGCTTTTAAAAAACTTAACATCTGGAAGCGAATAGAGGAGCACCAAAATTGTTTTAGGATGTTATTTAATTGTTTGTTATTTGTCTATGTGTAATTTAACATTTTATATTGTTTTATTGTTTTATCTGGCATTATGCCCTGTTAGCCGCCCTGAGCCTGCGGGGAGGGCGGGATAGAAATCTAAATAATAAATAAATAAATAAATAAATGGTGCTACATCCCCGCTGAGCTCCCACTCCTCACCAAAACCCACTCTCTCCCAGTTACCACCCAAAAATCTCCAGGAATTTTCCAAGCTGGAGTTGGCAACCTTAAGAGATCTGTGCACACCTGCTTATTGAAGCCAGATGTTCCCAGAATAATATTCTGCTCTCAGAATAATTCCCGGTATACACTGGGGGGTGGAGGATGAAAGAAAGATGGAGGGATGACCCTGCAAGGATTTTCTCTCCCCTCGGCCATCTCCCACTGCCACAATGTTCGTCCCCCTTGAAGGGGAGATATACATTGGTGTGGGCCAGCCTGGAAAAGGAAGGGGGGGGATTCTTCTCTGGGCCAGGCTTTCCGTCCAGGAGAGAAAGACATAGGGCCACATAGGGCCTGGCTACATGTTGGTGCACTTTCCTTGTAGCCTTACTGGGGCTAGTACACAATCAGATATGCATTGCAATTTTCATGTAAGGGACTTAGCTCTGGGTTGGGATATTTCTGGAATTTTGAGGGCAGAGCCTGGGAGGGACCTCAGCAGGGTACAACGCCACAGAGTCCACCCTCCAAAGCAGCCGTTTTACCCAGGCACATGCAGGCATAATTCAGATCAGGACCACACAGATACGAGGAGGAAACAAAGAAAATGTAACAAGTAGTTAGGCCCTTGTTAGTAACTTTTGGGAGGCATCTTCAGCAAACAATGGTGGGTGGGCTGACGTAACATGCATGCATTCTCTTTGGTCTTTGGCTTTTGACGCTTAAAAAGCAAATTCATTCATCAATGGTAACCGGATGTGGCATGGGAATGCGTCCCAGCTGAAATTCTAAAGGAACATGATACATGGCATAGCTAACGCTAGGGAGGAATTATCCTGTACTGGCTGCAACTTAAGAGCAGGCCTGCGAAAACTGGGAATTCATGGATGATTCTCAAGATTGGGCTATAAGAACGTTATTTAAAAATGGAACCAAAGGTGAGGATTCTGATACAGACTGACTCTGCTAGGAAAGCCCTGGCACAGAAAGGCCCATTATAATGCCTGTCCACTGCTGAACTGGCCACATCAAAGCCTCCTTGAAGATTTAAACTTTGCCTACAGGTATTAATTACCAGCCCCAGATGGTCAAAAATTCCATGTTACACCTCTCTGTTCTTGTTTCCTCCATGTAAGTTTGGTGGGAGCCCCCTGGGACTTGTATGCAAATAGCTCCCACTGCATTTAGCATTTCCCTCCAGTCCTGTCCTTGCAGGCAGGCATGCTGCTATGTTCAATTTGGCATAATTACATGACAATAACATAATAACATGGAGCTGCGGTGGCTCAAGTGGTTAAGACGCTGAACTGCAGGCTGTGGAAGGTCAGTAGTTCAGCAGTTCAAGACCCGGGTGCCGCATGATGGAGTGAGCTCCCATCTCTACTTCCAGCTTCTGCCAACCTAGCAGTTCGAAAGCAAGAAATTGCAAGTAGATAAATAGGTACCACTTCGGTGGGAAGGTAACAGCGTTCCGTGCGCCTTGGTGTTTAGTCATGCCGGCCACATGACCACGGAAACGTCTTCGGACAGCGCTGGCTCTTCGGCTTTGAAACGGAGATGAGCACCGCAACCCTAGAGTCGGATTCGACTGGCTTTCGAGCAAGGGAACCTTTACCTTTACCTAACATAGTATTATGTCTGGGTCATCCTTGGCTATGAGAACCACAATCAGCAAATCAGTTTGGATGGCCTGTGCGAAGGAATGAAGTTGCACCATGAAGCACCTACCACTGCGTTGCCCATGTCTGTCTGCACCCATCCAGGGTGCAATGCAACGCACAGGATCCCATCTTCTGCAAATCCCAGGCCCTGGCACCGGGTGAGCATGTTCAGAGCAGTCTAGGAAGGGAGACACTTTATTTATTTAAAACATTTATTAGTTGCCTTTCTTCCTTAACAGAGACCAAAACAGCTTACAATATAGATAAAATCCATAAAAAACTTAAAAATCATAAATTAAAATCACATATCAGGACTGCTTGCAAACTTAACCAAATATAGTCTTAAATAATAATAATAATAAGAGATTGGATTTATACCCCGCCCTTCACTTGGGAGTCTCAAATAGCACCCTCCCTGCATGTTAAATACATTTTCAGAAAGGGACTAAAAAAAGGGGTCTCAAAATGCCTTAGTTGCTCATAAGGTGACACTTCCATAGACAATGGTAGTTCTTAAAGAAATAGCACCCTCCCTGCATGTTAAATACATTTTCAGAAAGGGACTAAAAAAAGGGGTCTCAAAATGCCTTAGTTGCTCATAAGGTGACACTTCCATAGACAATGGTAGTTCTTAAAGAAATAGCACCCTCCCTGCATGTTAAATACATTTTCAGAAAGGGACTAAAAAAAGGGGTCTCAAAATGCCTTAGTTGCTCATAAGGTGACACTTCCATAGACAATGGTAGTTCTTAAAGAAATAGCACCCTCCCTGCATGTTAAATACATTTTCAGAAAGGGACTAAAAAAAGGGGTCTCAAAATGCCTTAGTTGCTCATAAGGTGACACTTCCATAGACAATGGTAGTTCTTAAAGAAATAGCACCCTCCCTGCATGTTAAATACATTTTCAGAAAGGGACTAAAAAAAGGGGTCTCAAAATGCCTTAGTTGCTCATAAGGTGACACTTCCATAGACAATGGTAGTTCTTAAAGAAATAGCACCCTCCCTGCATGTTAAATACATTTTCAGAAAGGGACTAAAAAAAGGGGTCTCAAAATGCCTTAGTTGCTCATAAGGTGACACTTCCATAGACAATGGTAGTTCTTAAAGAAATAGCACCCTCCCTGCATGTTAAATACATTTTCAGAAAGGGACTAAAAAAAGGGGTCTCAAAATGCCTTAGTTGCTCATAAGGTGACACTTCCATAGACAATGGTAGTTCTTAAAGAAATAGCACCCTCCCTGCATGTTAAATACATTTTCAGAAAGGGACTAAAAAAAGGGGTCTCAAAATGCCTTAGTTGCTCATAAGGTGACACTTCCATAGACAATGGTAGTTCTTAAAGAAATAGCACCCTCCCTGCATGTTAAATACATTTTCAGAAAGGGACTAAAAAAAGGGGTCTCAAAATGCCTTAGTTGCTCATAAGGTGACACTTCCATAGACAATGGTAGTTCTTAAAGAAATAGCACCCTCCCTGCATGTTAAATACATTTTCAGAAAGGGACTAAAAAAAGGGGTCTCAAAATGCCTTAGTTGCTCATAAGGTGACACTTCCATAGACAATGGTAGTTCTTAAAGAAATAGCACCCTCCCTGCATGTTAAATACATTTTCAGAAAGGGACTAAAAAAAGGGGTCTCAAAATGCCTTAGTTGCTCATAAGGTGACACTTCCATAGACAATGGTAGTTCTTAAAGAAATAGCACCCTCCCTGCATGTTAAATACATTTTCAGAAAGGGACTAAAAAAAGGGGTCTCAAAATGCCTTAGTTGCTCATAAGGTGACACTTCCATAGACAATGGTAGTTCTTAAAGAAATAGCACCCTCCCTGCATGTTAAATACATTTTCAGAAAGGGACTAAAAAAAGGGGTCTCAAAATGCCTTAGTTGCTCATAAGGTGACACTTCCATAGACAATGGTAGTTCTTAAAGAAATAGCACCCTCCCTGCATGTTAAATACATTTTCAGAAAGGGACTAAAAAAAGGGGTCTCAAAATGCCTTAGTTGCTCATAAGGTGACACTTCCATAGACAATGGTAGTTCTTAAAGAAATAGCACCCTCCCTGCATGTTAAATACATTTTCAGAAAGGGACTAAAAAAAGGGGTCTCAAAATGCCTTAGTTGCTCATAAGGTGACACTTCCATAGACAATGGTAGTTCTTAAAGAAATAGCACCCTCCCTGCATGTTAAATACATTTTCAGAAAGGGACTAAAAAAAGGGGTCTCAAAATGCCTTAGTTGCTCATAAGGTGACACTTCCATAGACAATGGTAGTTCTTAAAGAAATAGCACCCTCCCTGCATGTTAAATACATTTTCAGAAAGGGACTAAAAAAAGGGGTCTCAAAATGCCTTAGTTGCTCATAAGGTGACACTTCCATAGACAATGGTAGTTCTTAAAGAAATAGCACCCTCCCTGCATGTTAAATACATTTTCAGAAAGGGACTAAAAAAAGGGGTCTCAAAATGCCTTAGTTGCTCATAAGGTGACACTTCCATAGACAATGGTAGTTCTTAAAGAAATAGCACCCTCCCTGCATGTTAAATACATTTTCAGAAAGGGACTAAAAAAAGGGGTCTCAAAATGCCTTAGTTGCTCATAAGGTGACACTTCCATAGACAATGGTAGTTCTTAAAGAAATAGCACCCTCCCTGCATGTTAAATACATTTTCAGAAAGGGACTAAAAAAAGGGGTCTCAAAATGCCTTAGTTGCTCATAAGGTGACACTTCCATAGACAATGGTAGTTCTTAAAGAAATAGCACCCTCCCTGCATGTTAAATACATTTTCAGAAAGGGACTAAAAAAAGGGGTCTCAAAATGCCTTAGTTGCTCATAAGGTGACACTTCCATAGACAATGGTAGTTCTTAAAGAAATAGCACCCTCCCTGCATGTTAAATACATTTTCAGAAAGGGACTAAAAAAAGGGGTCTCAAAATGCCTTAGTTGCTCATAAGGTGACACTTCCATAGACAATGGTAGTTCTTAAAGAAATAGCACCCTGCCTGTATCTTTAAGATGTTCTCAGAAAGGGACTTAGAAGTTCAACTATGTTAGATTTATACAATATTTATACACACAAATTGTGTAGAGATTATGGGAAGTAGAGGATTTTGTGTTATTTGAGTTTGTACATGGTGTGGTTTGTTTTCTATTCTTGCTCTATCCGTAGCATCTTTCCCCCTGCCTGTTTTCTCCCTCTTTCAAGTGTAAGGAAAGGGGAGGGGATAGCTGGCAGGGGTGGGAGCCTAAGAGCCTTGGGCTGATAAGCCGAAACTCAGCCCATTAATATTAATCAACTCTTTAAACCCTTTCTGTGTCTTTATTTGAGGATCAGTGCAGGACAATTATTGTACATGCTACGGCTTATGTACGTGCAATTTCCCCTGTTATGTACTGTGTCTGATTAAAGAAGGAACCCTATTGGAAAATATGTAAAATGTTGGTATTCTACAGATTAGGCCTAAGCAAGTAGCAGCATAAGCTGACTCCATGCTATTGCTTGGAGATCTTTTTTAAAACAACAACAACAACAACAAGCCAGTGTAGCCCTAAAGAGATTTGCACTCTTCTAACCCACTGACTTCAGTGGACTTAGAAGAGTGTGTGACTCTGGGCCTCAGTAGACGGGTGTAACTCTGCTTAGGACGACACTCCCCAGTACATGCTTTGCTTCATCTGGCATACTTACCAGTTTTCAGACTTACTATTTTTTCGTTTGTCTCACAGACATACAGAGTAATCTCTCATCAACTCCATTTGACTCAGTTCTCAGACAGAGTATTTGCAGAACTGCTTCAAACTGAGGTGATGAGAGATGACATTCTAATACTACTCTGTAAAGTGAAAACTTATGAATCTGCAGGGACAGATGGCACACACCCAAGGGTTCTTAAAGAACTGAAATCCTAAATTGTGGATCTACTAACTTGTTGCTAAGATCTGGCTATGTTCAAGATGACTGAGAGATAACAAAGGTCACCCCATACTTTGGAAAGTGGAACCAGGAAATTACAGGCCCATCAAGCTACTATCTGCTCTGGGTAAATTCGTAGAATCTGTTATTAAAGGGAGAACTTGTACGCACAGCGTAGAGCAAGTCTGCTGAGGAAGAATAAGTGTGGCATCTGCAAAGGGAAGCCGTGCCATGCCAACCCCTTGGGGTTATTTCAGCAAGTTAAAAAGCATGTGGATGAGGGTAATCCAGTAAACATATACCTGGACAAACTATTAAAATCAGCAACTGGATTACAAAGTCTGAGAACAGCATTAGAATCTAACAGCAAAGATTTCTAGAAAAAGAAAGAAAGGATGCAGCATAGCTGGGATTGAAGAACTAGTACAGAAAAACAACTGGGGCAGAACAAACACTGATTGAGTGCTAGAAATGGGGAATGTGTGTGCATTTAAACTACGGCACGGCAATCTTGTGGAATGGCCCTGAATCTGTAGGAAGAGGGCATTTGAGTGGCCCGTCACTTACCCATTGGGAGGATTTTGACACTCCGATATTTGGCAGCCAAGTTCTTCAAGTCCTGAAAGAGACCAAAGGCAGAGACCTGACATGCAAGACTGGTTTATTTGAGAGGATTTAGGGATGGGTTGTTCATTAAGGAGTAGCACTTTTTGTTATGGACCCTGGCCAGAGGCTCCATGGTTCACAGACGTTCCCAAAGAACTGACACAAGAGATCTGAATTTATTTATGAGGAGAGCTTTAATAACCCATCAAAGTTATCAAAGCAGACTCAGGGACAAGCTCCAATCAGCTGGCCTCCAGATACACGCACAGCAAATCTTAGCCAAATCTCGAGACCAGGAGCGTAATTAAAACTACACATCTTACACCCTAAATGCTGGCTGTGAGTCAAAGAATGATTAATTGAGCTACCCCAAATACCTGGTTGAGCCAGGCCATCTTGCACCTGGCTTCCAGTGGCGGGAGGAGACAACCCAGGCCTTGACGATAAAGCACTAATAACAAGCATGAGACTGAGAATGTTCCCCTGAGAGCAGCTAATACTGTCCTCTCTCAGGACTCAGGGCAACTAAGCACCAGCATTAGCTAAAATGGAGTCTCCCGGACTAATACAGTCCACCCCCAGGACAGTATGGATTAGGGGAAAATATATATAATTCACAGAAGAAAAATCACTCTTCTGTAAATTT